ATTGCCATTAGTCGATGGGCTCGGAGGTCTTATCTGCATGCAGATAATGGTGTCTCCTCGCCTTGTCAAGGCCACCATAGCACTGCTGCTGACTTTCTTCAGAGATCCGTGGGTAAAGGCAATGGCAACGGCACTGGCTACGGCTACGGCACCTCCAAACCCAAATTCATTATGTGATGCCATCGATGGGCACTTCAATCCGCCGTGGGGCATCGGCATCCACACAACGTGCCCACGAACACTCCATCTCGAATACTGCTTGTGTTTGCATTGCGGCAATGATTTCTAACTAAATTTATTGAAGTACTTTTCACTTTTAATGCGAGCGCTTGTGTTTCTCTCCGCCACGCTTTGATATTTATGACTTTTACCTGAAGGGAAAAATAAAAAAATAAATATATGTGCGAGCACCCATATTTTTATATATTTTGTTAAGCCCCGAATTGGAGCACCCCGGACTGGAGACGACGCGTCGTCTGACTCAGTTTTTCATCCTCTGTTTTGGGTACTTTGAATGACTCGGAGCGGGCACAATGCGAGTTGATTGATTGTGGTAGCAAAAGCAGCAGCAGCGGCAACAGCTTTGATTGCCAATCGAAGGTGTTAGATAACATTACAAGCGCAACAGACACGCACTGCCTAATTATCGTTTATCAGAGGTATCTCATATTCCGGGCATAGTATGTGATATATGCGAGAGCTGCCGTGGCCCCAGGGCCCCTGGGAACCCTCAGCAGGCTGTGAATGAGAGGTGTGTGTACGTCTGCCTTGGTTAATTAAAAGTTCTGCTTCATTGCTCTCGAGTTCGAGTTGGGGTTCAGCCTCAGGTCGAGGCCCAAGTTCAGGTCCAAGGCAGCTTGGCAGGGGAAACTATGTATCCAACTTGGTATACCAACTTGAGTTATGGGGACATTGAGTTACATGAACATAATATCTTAAGACTGTACGAGACATATCTATGGTATAAAGAAGTTAAGCCTACAAGGGGCAGGGTGTAAGTACAGTGGAAATTTTACGTTGAACTGCCTGACTTAAAGCTTGTGATGTAAGATTGTAAAGGGTTTTAGGATATTTCAAGATTTCTTCAATATCGAAACTGAAGTTGTATATCGAAAAGGAAGATATATCTTAATCTTTAATATCTTTAAACATTAAAAAATCTACATTTACTTTTACCTCAAACTATTTAGTTTTATTCCTCTAAAACTCAACTTACCTTGAAGAAATTACCATTAAATTTAAACACATTTCTTTCTAAGAAGTTTCACTGTATGCCACAGTTACTGACCAAAAGTTAGGACATATAATTAATTTATTTACACCACCATTGAGCCCGTCTCCCTTCTTGGGAAATCCAATCGAATCCAATCAAAACTTGGCGGCAGCAGAAAAAGAAATAGAAATGGCTTAGACTTTTTGCTGTTCACGAGGCGTGTGGGCTTAGTTTCGGTTTATTTGGTGTAGGGTTCGACCCACTTCCACTCCTCCCAGACGACGCACGACTGCTCCTTCTCCATGAAGGCGTAGTTGTCCGGGCACTGGATGTAGTCGGCCTTCTCCTGACCCTCGGGACAGACCCAGTAGTGGGTGGGGTCTGAGATGTCGCGGAATTTGCGAGCATGATCCTCGACGATGGCACAGTTGGGTTCGGCATAGATGTCCTGGCCGTTGTAGGCGGAGCTGAGGGCCAGGATCAGGCCCAGCAGCAGGCAGCAAAGGAAGGTGCCTGCATGGGAATAGAGTTAGTCTTTGATTTATTTTTCAAAAGAGCAACTTAGGTGATGCCTCACTCTTGTACATGATGAAAGTGTTGCAATCGAAGGCCGACAATTGGCATATTTATAGTTCCTTAAAGGCCTTATCGCTCTGCATTGGGGCACTTGTTGCACAGCAAAAATCACTTAGTCTAAATGAGTTTCGATTTATTTTTAGCTTCCCAGCCTGCGGATGTCGCCGAGCTCCGACTTCTCACCATCGTTTTGGGCAATCATAACGAGCCGCATTTCACTGGGTCGCATTAATTGGATTTGACCAGAGAGAGAGACCGAGCGTGTCGGCTTAATCGATAATTAGCCGCTGCACTGCGCGTTGCCGCCATCATCTTGGCCAACCTGAAATAATCAGTCAACTTAACACATGCCAAGTCATTGGACATCTGCCAGACTCCGACGGTCTTCGATGGTCTGCGACGGACTCCGACGGTCTCCTCCTGGCCAAATTGCGTTGGCTGATTGGCAAAACCCCTTTTTCCCTCAATGCGGAAACTGTAATTAGACTTTAAACACTGCAACATTTTGTAAGCGATTTTCAGGGCTTTTGTTTTCGCTGCTAAACGGTTTTTAGTTTTTTTTTTTCAGTCGTGAAGTTGGAGTTTTTTCTTTATATTTATTTTATGTTTGTTAGTTTTGCTATTTATATTGGTCAAGTGGCCTGGCGCCCGAATCGCTGCGGGGCGTCGATGCCAAACAAAGCCACAAAGAAACAAACAGTTACCATAAATGCAAAATACTTTTGCAAAATGACTAAACAAAAAACAAAAGAGACTACAACAAATATTACAAAAATAAAATGAAAAAGAAATAAGCATCGAAGAGTTGGTCAGCAATTAATTAATGAATGGGCCGATAGACTTTAATGTTGCACAATTTAAACGAATTCAGATTTCGGCATTTGTTTTATGGAAATAAATATATAAAATATGCGATTATGGATTTGGCATGCCATTTGGGATTACACCTGACAAGGTGTCAATAACTAGTCATGGTTATTAGGCAGAGTGTCGACTTATAGACCTTATAAATATGAGTTTGGGAACATCAAATAGTAATGGTTAGTTGGGGTTTAAATACACGAATTTATCATTTAAAGTGCAAGAGATTTTTATCTTTTAACAAACTTTGACTGCACTAAAACATTATTTCTCATATATAGTATTTAATGATTTCTTTTCTCCCCACCCTTGGGTCCATATTTGTGACATTTTGGCAGATTCTGCTCCCTATCTTGGAGCCACTCTCTGTTCTTTTTGTTTCTGCTCCCCAGATAATAATCAACGGATGCGCGCGTGTGTCAAAATGTCAATACTTTTATTATTCTTGTTTTTACGTCTTTTTTTTGGCTCCCCGTCGAAAGTATAAAAGTTCCGTGGCCAGAATGGAATGGCCTCAGTTGGTTCCTTCTATCGAGAAAACTTTCACAGCTGAAAATGAAGTCTGGTGGGTGTTGGTTGCTTTTCAAAGTTATTTCCCCATCGATTGCTTACTGATTTGCCCTCCTCCCTCTCACTTTTCCGGTAGTTGCTGCTCTGCTCGCTCTAATGGTGGCCGCTTTTCTGGTGGCCAGCGTGAGTTCCGATGCGGGTCGCTCCGCCTGCAAGGACGAGTCCGAGGTGGGCCAGACCTATCCGCACCACTTTGATGCCGCCAAGTTCTGGCTCTGCGAGGAGCTGGGCACTGCCGCCAGGGAGGTCGACTGCCCCTCGGGCCTGGCCTACATGCATCTGCTGAAGGAGTGCATCCCCTGGGCCAGTTACATTTGGAAGAAGCCCGAGATGCCGCCAACTGTTGCCTAAAATAAACCATCCACCCAACGTTGATAACTGCAGCATGATTTTGGTTTTAATTGATGGATGGGACAAGGGTGTGCTCTTTGGGGAAGTTATTCATTCTTTATTTGTTTACATTTTGCTTAGTTATTGGTGATTGATTCCCTGAAATTATGGAATACTTGCCTGTGGTGGAATTGTGATTATTCTATTTTTATACCCTTTTAGAGGGTATTATAATTTCCGTCAGAAGCTTGTGAAGGAAGTGAAGGAGTCATTTCCGACCCTACAAATCATATATATTCCTTATCAGCATTAACAGGAGAGTCTTTCTAGCCATGTCCGAAGAAAAAACATTTTTGAGTCATTTTTTCAAAATTTTGTAAGGGGTTACATCATTAAAATTTTCGAAAATTGGCCAAAATTTTTATTTCTTTAAACTTAAAATGTAGCTTGCAGATTTGTTAACCTGCAAAAAACTAGCAAAGAAAAGCTTTTTGAATTAAAATTAATGCTTTTTTGGCTTAGTTATGATATTTTTAAACTTTGATTTCCTTAAAAAATTATCATATAAAAGTTGTTTAGAAATGTATACTTAAATGTTGTAAAATATATTTAAATTTAAAACATATTTAGGTAAAACTAAACAGTGAAAGTTAAATTATGACCATTATTAAAAACCAAATAGCAATGTAATAACCTTATAAATAAAGAAATCGTACTGTTATTAATCATTATTGATTTGGATTTTCATTTTAACATTCAAAATATTTATTATTTAATATTAATTTTAAATATTTTGCCTCTTTTCATTTCATAGGTTACTTATTTTTTTAATACTTTATCTAAATTTTTTGACTTTTATTAATGGTTGTAACACTAAAGCTTCTCATTGTAAATATATTACAAGTACTTTTAACAAAGGTACATTTTATTAATTGCAAGCCAACATCAAGCATTTGAACAAAAAGTAATTATAGATATTAATTTGAAGCGGCACGCTCTTTTATGATTTATGCAAAGGCAAAGCCGTGTAGTGATGACAGATGTTGCCACTGAACTTGGAATCGGATCGATGTGGATTTATCAGGGCAAAAACAAAAGCAAAAGCAGAAAGCTTTCCGATCACTTTACTGATTTTTTGTTGCTGCCTCTGGCGGTGTTTTGGATTTGCTTTTTGTTGTTTTTATTTTGTGGCAGATGTTGCTGGTGGCTTGTGGCTGGCTGGCTGGTGGCTTGTGGCTGGCGGCGAGTGAGTGCATTTGGAGTGTTACATAAAGTACCCACAACTCGACGCCGAAGACTTGCCCAGCGTCTTCTTCGCATTGTGTTTGGTGCTCTTCGAAGCTTTTGATTTTCGTCTGTCCGCATTGTTATTGTTAGTTTTTTTTTTTATTGTGTGTGTTTTTACCTATGTTTTTTTGTTTTTCTTTGGATTTTGTGGCTTTGCCCGGTTATGATTTTGTATAAAAGTGCATGCTGCGCATCAAACAGCAGTGTAGTTCGCATTTGTCCATCGGCAGAGCATCGTCTGGTGAAGTGCCCTCCCAAAAACCAAATATCAAAGAAGCAGCTGGTGTCCACGAAAACGGTTAGTGTTAATATCTCGAAAGGATTATCGCCATTTATCGTAAAAACAAGTGTAAACAACTATTTGAGCAGGATTACTATTTATTGTTAAATACCAAAAATAGTGTCAAAGCTTTCCAAAAGGATGGTTACTAATCGTCGTAAATCTTTGATTGGCCAAATTTCGTTTAGTTTATATCAGTGAAAAGCAAAACTAAATAATTTTTATTAGAAACGGTTTGTTTTAATGAAATGCTGTGACGTTTTTATACACAGGACACAGAATAACTAACTTAACTTATATAAATGAAATACAAAAGGTATTTGGAAAGTTACATTAGATAATAAAGGAATGTCATAGATAGGATAGAGTACATTTTAAATTAATTTTAAAAATCTGTATTTATTCTGAACCCATAGTATTGTTTTGACATATTGTGAAACAATTTTTGGAAGGATCGATAATATATAATTATTACATTTTAGAAAATATATTCTAAAACTTCAAAGCTGCTGCTGAAATATCAAAACACTATTTAAAAAAAATTAACAGAAATGCAGGATCAGAGTCAATGAACTGTTTTAAATGTAAATCCATATAAAAATCACAAATTAGATCGTTTGTCTATCTAGCTATTAATTATTAATTGGGGTTTGATGATCCTCAAAACATTATACAAGCTTCGAAAAATGTTTTCAAGTTAATATCGTAGTAAAAAAAATCTGTGAAAGTGAGATTTATTTTAAAAATCATAGAAAAAACCTTTCTAAGCTGGATTCACTTTAAATTTATCATAATTAACCCTATTTCTATAATACATTCTTTATTTCGGCCTTGTCATCGCTCGTAATTCTTGCATAAGCTGCATGGCCAATTAGGAGTTGCCTCACTTTTGGTGGGTCATTCCAGTCACCTGTGCGGTCTTCGAAAAATAATTAAAATTTTGCAGCAACGACTAAACAAGCGGCACAAGCTAAACAATAACACTCGGCGGGGGCTGATGATGTCTGTCACCAAAAAGCCAACAAAAGCCAGCGGGATGAAGCCCGAGGCCCCGAGGCGAGACAGTAATTGGCAGCAGTAGCTGGAGAAAAAAATATGTGTCACTCACTGCACATGCAACAGGATAGGGGAGAGGAGAAAGAGGGGGGAAGAGGGCTTTTAAGTAGTCGTGACTGATTTTGCAATGTCATAAAATCCAGCTAACGGCTTTGCTGCTACTGCTGGATCACGCCCCCACAGCGTTTTGGCCTTTTATTCAATTCGTTCCCAGAAAGAAAGGGAAAAGTTTCTCCAGCAATTGCAGAGGCTTTTGTCTGCGCGATTTTTGTGCGATTTTTCCTAAGAGCCCAAATTAAGTGGCAGCGCCTCAATGCCGCCGGGCGACACGCTCCGGCTGCTGGCCAGTTCTTGGCATTGGCCGACGGACCGAGCCAAGATTGAACGGCAGCGATTAAGGTCTGGCCGGTCATCGTCGCCATTTTAGTCTTCTTTGCGGTGCGAATAAAAAAAATTACGCAACATTAACGTAATCTATATATAACTATTTTTTATGTTGGTAATCCACTTTCAACTGATTTTCTCCCTCACACTCTTTGCAGCTCGGTTAATTTGCATTCGAAGCGCATCGAGAGCTCATCCCCAGGAGAAGCAGCAGCAGCAGCCATGCGAGTGGTGAGTCGAAGAGTTTTCACTTGAAGAAAGTCTCCAGCATTATTATTATTATTTTTTAAATAACTAAAACAAAACGAAGATCATAACCATTCTCTAAAAGAATTACCTCATCATTATATTACCCAAAACTCCCTCTACCGATTTTACATAAATTTTCTCTCACTGTAAATCGTCGTAAATACCTCGTGAAGAGTGGATCATCCATCGATCAACGCGATCTCAATGCGGCACAAAAAGCTAATTTTGCCAATTTCCTCGTTTTCGCTGCAGCTTTTCGGTGTCATCGGCGTGGTGGCCATCGTCGCCGCGTCTCTGGTCCGCGATGTTGGAGCGGCAAAGCGTGAGGCGCCGCTAAACAATGCCTACCTGCCCCCCAGTTCCCAGCAGCGTCCCTCCTCCAAGTATGGAGCCCCGCCGCCCAGCTCTTACCTGCCACCCGCCTCCGGTCCAGCGCCCTCGTTCAACTCCGGTCCGTCCAGCAGCTATTCGGCGCCCTCGCAGAGCGCCTCCTCGGGCGGACCCTATCCTGCACCGGCTCCTCGTCCTTCCAGCTCTTACGGTCCTCCGGCCTCGCGTCCTTCTTCTAGCTATGGACCGCCTCCAAGCCGCCCAAGCCAATCGTACGGACCACCGCCGCAGGCCAAGAAGTCACATCACCACCGTCGCCCGTCCTCCAGCTACGGAGCTCCAAGGCCAGCTCCGCCCTCGCAGAGCTATGGTGCTCCTCCATCCTCCAGCTACGGACCCCCAAAGTCTGCGCCTCCGTCTCAGAGCTACGGAGCCCCAGCTCCTTCGACCAAATATGGACCACCCAAGTCGGCGCCATCTTCCAGCTATGGATCCCCTAGGCCCGCACCACCCTCATCGTCCTACGGAGCTCCTGCCGCTCCTTCATCTTCATATGGAGCTCCTGCCGCTCCTTCGTCGTCCTATGGAGCTTCTTCAGCGCCCTCTTCTTCTTATGGAGCGCCTGCTCCACCCTCCAAGTCATACGGAGCTCCTGCAGCCCCATCTTCGTCGTATGGAGCTCCTGCAGCTCCTTCAAAGTCTTATGGAGCACCGCCTGCCCCGCCATCATCATCCTACGGACCACCAAAGTCGGCTCCTGCTCCACCACCATCCTCCAGCTATGGAGCACCACCACAGGCGCCCGTCAGCAACTACCTGCCACCCGCATCGCGACCCTCAAAGCCTTCGTCCAGCTATGGAGCGCCCAGTGTGAGCAGCTTTGTGCCCTTGGCCTCGGCGCCATCGACCAACTATGGAGCGCCATCGAAGACCCAGAGCCTGGGCAGCAGTGGCTATACTTCGGGACCTTCCTCGTATGATGCTCCCGCGGCACCGCCCTCGTCTTCGTACGGAGCACCCTCGTCCTCGTTCCAGCCTATCTCACCGCCTTCGTCCAGCTACGGCGCACCCAGCAGCGGATCTGGCTCAAGCAGCGGCAGCTTCTCGGCGGCTCCTTCGTCCTTGTACGGTGCACCAAGCAAGGGTTCCAATGGTGGATCCTTCCACTCGGCTCCCTCCAGCTCGTACTCGGCTCCCAGCGCCAGTGCCAACAGTGGAGGATCGTATCCCTCGGCGCCTTCGTCTTCGTACTCGGCGCCCAGTCCCAACTCAAACAGTGGAGGCCCGTATCCCTCGGCTCCTTCGTCGTCTTACTCGGCACCTAGCTCCGGATCTAACAACGGTGGACCCTACCCGGCTGCTCCCTCCTCTTCGTACTCCGCTCCCAGTGCGGATGCCAACAGCGGAGGCTCTTATCCCGCGGCTCCCTCTTCTTCCTACTCGGCACCTAGCTCGGGATCAAGCAGCGGCAGCTTCTCGGCTGCTCCTTCGTCCTTGTACGGTGCACCAAGCAAGGGTTCCAGTGGTGGATCCTTCCACTCGGCTCCCTCCAGCTCATACTCGGCTCCCAGCGCCAGTGCCAACAGTGGAGGATCGTATCCCTCGGCGCCTTCGTCTTCGTACTCCGCGCCCAGTCCTAACTCAAACAGTGGAGGCCCGTATCCTTCGGCTCCTTCGTCGTCTTACTCGGCACCTAGCTCGGGATCGAACAACGGTGGACCCTACCCAGCAGCACCACAGTCTTCGTACTCGGAACCCAGCCCTGGCGCCAACAGCGGAGGCTCTTATCCCGCGGCTCCCTCTTCTTCGTACTCGGCTCCTGGAGCTGGTTCCAGCTCTGGCGGACCCTATCCCGCCGCACCATCTTCATCCTACTCCGCTCCTAACTCAAACAGTGGAGGCCCGTATCCATCGGCTCCTTCGTCGTCTTACTCGGCACCTAGCTCCGGATCTAACAGCGGTGGACCCTACCCGGCGGCACCATCCATCTCGTACTCTGCCCCCATCTCGCCACCATCTTCGTCATACGGAGCACCTGCCTCAGGACCATCCCAGTCCTACAGTGCCCCTTCATCTTCGTATGGAGCTCCATCAACCGGATCCGGATCTAGCGCCGGCTCCTTCTCATCCAGCCATCACGCATCAGGCTCATCCTTCGCCTCATCCTCTGCCTCGAGCAGCGCTGGTAGCTATCCCTCGGCTCCCTCCAGCTCCTATGGAGCTCCCGCTGCCGATCCCGCTCTGAACTTCCCCAGTGGCCCATCGTCTAGCTACAGTGCCCCACCCACTGGCGGATCGTCCAGCTCTGGCCCATATCCCAGTGCCCCTTCTCAGGACTCTGGGTATGATTACAATGGACCCAGCCAGGTGCCCGAGACCATCCAGCAGAGCTACAGCGCTGACGGTGGCTACACTTACCGCAAGAAGTGAAGACATCATCCACCCAGCGTTCGCCATGTGCCTTTGAATACTCAGCCACCAGCTACCATTATGCACCACCAACCACCAGCACCACCTCATGTCATCTCTCCGCAACTGTAAATTATTCCCCAATTGACCAGCAATTCGCCCATTCTATCGTATTCCCCTAAATCAAACCCATGGAACTCTAGCCGTAATTCATTGTACCATTAGATGTAAAAGACCAAACGTTTGTTAAATAAACAACTTGATGAAGAATCATAAAAAAATATGCTATTAATATTTAGAAAGAGAAAGATTTTGCTAGGAATATTACGAAGAATTACCTTTAGTTACATGACAAAGATCAAAGCTCAAAGCACTCATTCCTTGTCAGTCTTCAAAGATTCTTAAACTTTTATATTTTTTAACCTACTTCATTTTCAGAAATCATATATAATCGAAGATCATTGTACACCACTTTATTTCTTTCCGTGCAATGGCCATCAGTTCTGGGCGATCGGTTCCCTTCACATCCGCGACACAAGCCAAGTCCGAGGCATTCGCGAAATTCTTCCGCTCGGCTAATTGGCCAAGAAGAAGACAAGTGAAGACGAGCTGCTTGCTGCCACGACCCAGTGACAGTTGAAGGTTCAAATCGGCAAACAATGCAAATTTTTAGCCAGAATACCGGATGCAGCCACAGAAGCACAACCACTGACATGGCACAAGCAACATTAGCCACAGAAGCTGACACGACACCGACCACAATTAGGGGGCAATTCTCGAGCGACACAAGTTATGGTCTTATGACGGTGGGCGGCGCTGTTCTACCATTCATCATTATCTGGCGATTCCGATCTAATTGGGATTACAACTTAATTGCGGCGGCAATAGCATCATTAGCAGGCTAATTGCAACCAGTTGAGATGCGACTTTGGCAACTTAGCGGGCTGACTTTCGACTAAATAATATAGGTAACTGTCGCATAGTTGCCACACATGTGAAGGGGAACCCCCCAAAAAAGAGCATTGTTTTTTTCGGAACCGATGAGATGCCCCACCGACAAGAGCTCTTTGCTCTTTAACTTGGCCTGAGAAATTTCCACCTGCGATAATACCATTCCATTGTCTGGGGATTGTCACTCGGCGATGGTGGCTTTTGTTGCCCGGTAATGTTTGTATTTATTTCACAAGCTAGTCAGTCAGTCACTCGGTCTATAAGTCAGTCAGTTAGTCAGTTACTTGGTTAGTCAACTAAGCTTTGAGAAGTAGAATAAATAAACAGGCAGAGACTGGGGAGAAACCATTTCCATATATTTATATACCTTTTATTTAATAAATACTTGTTTTCGTTTCCCTTTTGCTAGGCTTAAAACATTGATATGTATTCGGTTTGGTTTAATCTGATCATAATACATCGTGTATATCGTAACCATTTTTCCTATTCATGTTTTCATTTTTCATTTATTCTTTACTTTTGGTTAACATAATTCCACTAAAAGTACTTGGAATGGATAGACCAAGTTTAGTTAACAATAACATAGGTACGTACTCTTTTAACTAATTGCAAAACAGAATTATTTCGTTTTGAATGCATAAATTATTTGGTGGTTTTGGTTGATAGTTGATAGTAACATTACAAACGAGTAATTTTTGCTTATTTACAAATCTGGTTAACATCTGCACAAAGAAACGCACTTAATTATCTCAAGTTATTTGGAAATTTAGTCAAATTTGAACTCTATCGAAATGTACACACTCAGATCTGATGCAAGAGACAATAACAATAACAACGAACAGATATATATGCGTAGATGGATGTCCTAGATGGACTCAAAACACTTCAGTAAGTTTAGTTAGTAGTCTCGCTTATGTAAAGGTTATAAAACTTTACCCCAAATACAACAAACAGACGAGGCTCAATCAAAAAGCAGTCAACATTCATTACAATTAAGTGAGTTTGTTGTAGTTTCTAGGGCTTAACATCCAGCTTGTTACGCACATTAGTTACTTGAGTTGCCTTTAGATAGATTTTTAGTTTAAACTTTAACAAACGAGCCGAGTGAACATTACAAAAAAAGAGGAACCAACAACACACGTCTCAATTAATTTCAATTTAGTTATTTTAGTTATAATTCTTCCGAATCTCTTCAGCTTCCAGTTGAGGTTTGGGGTTCAGGCAGCGTGTGTGTATATAGAATAGATATTCTCCTAGCCAATATGCAGGTTGTTTTGGATCAATGGGGGGGCGGTGTTTGTCCTGGGTATAACACTCTAAATTCTGTGGCTGGCTCTAGATACATGTATATATATGTATATGCGGGTGTATATGATTTTGTATATATGTATATATATATATTTATAGTTTTTAGGTACTACGACGCAACATGTTACATATATAATTTCCATTCCTTCTCCTTTATATTCCGTGTGACTTTGCTCTTTGAGAGCAGCTAAAATTCATTCCTATATAACTTGATATGCCTCGATTTCTTCGCTTAAACAACTATGTTCTCTCATGTACATGCTGCTCGTTTATTGGGTTTATATAGTGGATGTATGTGTATATATCTCGATTCTCCTATATAGCTTACACACGACTGATATGTATCTCGTTTTGATATGTTTCGTTTGCTTTAGTTTTGCATTTAGTTTATCCTTTATTTCACTTTATTTCACTTGTGTTTCTTGCTTAGCTTTGTTCATTCTGGAAGGACACATGATTCACATTATATGCATCTATATAGTATATATGACCGATACCGATAATGCCAGGAATGCTTATGTGGGGCTGCCTCATCTGTGGCACACAAATGCTCTCGTCTTTCATACAATAATATTATATATATTTTGAGTGAGTGTCATAAAGCCCAGTATACACATTAATTTTTAGAAACTTTTAAAGTGGTTAAAGAACTAAAAATATTAAAAGGTTACTCTTAATTTTGGTAGCTCTCTTAAACTTTTCTCGACTTAATAATCTTGTAAGTTATATTATGACACTATGACACTGGACATTATGACACTGTACCCTTATTTCCTAGCCTCCTTGGCGGCTTATGAACTCCCCTCTCTGGATTAATACGTTTTTAATGCAACTTTCGGGCGGAGGAAAATGCATTTGATATGTATTTCGATATCTTTTGAACATTTACACCAAAAACTCACGACTTCAACAGCAAAATCAAGAACGATGGAACGCTTTAAGCTTCTGTGAAAACTATACACTATATAAGTTGGCTAAATGATAATGTAAACCTTACGATCAGCTTTCTGCACTTTATACCTGAGCACTTGTGAGTTTAACGTACGTGTCCTAATACTTTCTGTACTCCATCCTGACTTTACTGACCCTCCTGATCCTCCTGACTCTCCCGACCCTGTCTCAAATCCCCCGTAACAAGCGCAACTTAAAATCGTATAATTCTGTGGTTCGACTGCAGCCTACTTTCGGGCTCGGCTGGCGAGACCCTCCGGGATTTTCGCTCCGCCGGGCGCCTACTCTACTCAGAAGGCCGTGTTATCCTGCTCCGGCGTGGGCATGGCCATGCCAGACTGGCCACCGCCTCCGCCGGCCGGCTTCACACCGGTGGCCGTGTCCAGCATCTTTTTTACCTGGGCCTGCGCAGTCTGTTGGTTCAAGCGACGTGCTTCTGCCACGGGCAGATCGTCGTCGGATTCCAGGGCGGGATTAATACGTCCATTGCGCTCATCCTTGCCGGCCATGGTGGCAGCGCCATAGGATCTGGCCAGGGGTCCAGCCATCACTGAAAGCTGCTCGCCCGACTCCGAGGGATCGCCCACGCGCTGAATGTCTTCTGGAATGTTGACCACGCAGCGGAAGTAGTCGTAGCTGGGCGGCAGCTTGCCGGACTCGAACATCATTCTGAAAATAAAGAGAATTAAGCATACTTTCTTAAAAATGGTAAAGTAGCACTTACTTAGTCCACCAGGACACTGAGATCAGGGTGATCAGGCTGACCAACATGGCCATGGTACGGAAGGGGAACATCTGCTCGTGCGTTTCCTCATCGTAGCCAGGATACTTGATGAGTGGCGCCAGGCCCAGGATTGCTTCACCACCCGACAGTCGAATGGCCAAGGCCATTATATACGCCGCCAGGCTGCCATACGTGTTGCAGTGCTTCTTGAAATGCACCACCATCAGCAGCTGTGGGAACAGGATTACATAGACTAGGTCGGAGCACATGGACCTGGGGAAGAGGGAATAAACACTCAAGCTAATGAGCTGCCTGTCAGGCTAAATAATGCATCACTGCCACACGTACCACAATCCGTAGATGGAGGGAATGGTGAGGGCCATAATGGTGGCCAGGATGCCCACCACTATGATGGCTACGCGCATCACCCAAATGATTTCCATCTCGGACGCCTTCTGACGGAAAATCAATTTGTACACGTTCCGGGCGAACATGGAGGCTGCTGAGAGCACCGAGGAGTCGGCGGAGGACATCACGGCGGCGGAGACGGCGCCCAAACCAAAGAAGGACACAAAGTCGGGCGTCAGGTACTGCAAGACCATGGGCAGAATCATGCTGGTCTCGTCCACGGTCAGGGGATAGGGTCCCTTGTAGTCCGTTTCGTTCCAAGCTGTCAAAGGGAAGATTGGAATTAATCTTGGACTATATTTAATCTAATCTAATCTTTAGAATCCCACTCACGTGTGGCCTTGGCAATGGCTCCAATGAGCACTGGTGGAATGGCCATCAGGATGCATCCGGCTGCAGCCACATAGGACAGCAGCTGTGCCCGTCCCGCTGTCTTGCTGGAGAGCACTCTCTGGAAGTAGACCTGCCAAGGAATACCTCCAAAGACAAGCAACAACCCGTAGTCTATATAAAGCCAGTGTTTTTTAGGCTCCACATGCCCTATCCAGTCCACCTGCAGGTCACTCAGACTGCCCACATGCTCGTTGCTCCAGGCAAAGGGAATACACATCCACAGACCAATGAAGATGCAGAAAAGCTGGATCACGTCCGTATACGCCACGGAGTACAATCCTCCAAAGAGCGTGTAGAAGATGGCAATGCACGAGGAGAGAATAACAGAAGTTCGGTGGTCCATGTCGATGATCACGGATAATGTGGCTCCCAAGGCAGCCAGGATGCCGGCGGCCCAGAAGACCTCGCCGCAGAGAGCGGGCAGGAACAGGAGACCACCCATGCGCTCACCAAAGGAATCCTGCAGAGGATCCAACATAGTAATGTAGCCCTGTTTGCGCATGGGATTGGCAAAGAAGATGCCACCTGAAAGGAAAGAGTATATAAGTATTAAGAATATGTATCCTTGAACTCCACTTACCAAACACCAAACTCAAGGCATAACCAAAAGGAGCCTGACACCACACCAGGCCCGAAGTGTAGATAGCCTCCGCCGTGCCGTTGATATAGCCGCCACCCACCCAGGTGGCTGTCATGGTAAAGATGCCCACGAAGAGACCTATGGAGCGGCCGGCCAGCATCACCTCCTCCTCGGAGTCATTGCCGGATTGCTTCTTGCGACCGGCCCAGATGCCCACCACCAGGATGAGCAGGTAGAAGAGCACGATGCTCACCACGCCGGCTATATTGATCATGGCTGCGATTCAGAAAAGTCCTTGACTTCTAGGATATACTTTCAGCAACCTCAACGCTTCACACGCGCTTGGCTTGTGTAAATTAATACTCTTTGGAAACGGGTTTGACCTTTAGCTGTAATGGAATGGCAAAGAGGAGGGTGGTGAGTGGTGGGGTTGTTAGGGATGGAGTTACAACCTTGAGCATAATTGTTGCAAGCGCTCATTTTTCAATTAACTGGCCCCCAGCACGCAGCATTAAATATTAAGCCAATGCACTGGCCCTGGCCATCGGTGCGCCTGACCTTTGCCAGCAAGGATATAATAGGAGTGGGTGCCAGGGCATGTAGCTCTATATCCCTACCAAGCAAATGCGTCCTTGCTAATGGCGCGCAATTAACTGGCAGTTGCAGCTACTATGTCCTTAACAGCGGTGATATTTATAGATATATATAGTTCAGATAATGACCTATTGAGGCTGCTACTTAAGGGAAAATTTATTAGTTTAAAAGATATTGTGAAACAGTATATTTATTATCTATTTAATGTATTATTTTTGGTTAGAAAAAATATAGAAATTTCCCTATAAATATATGTCAAGAAGCCAAATAAACCATATAGTATACAAATGCGGATAATTCATAATAAAACTAACTTTAAACATTGAAATATATCAATTACTACACTGTTTCATTATTATTTTTGCTTCTATAAATACATTTCCGTATTTACTTTCCTAAAATATCCCAATTATCTACGGAATATATAAGAAAAAGTAAGAAAATCCATCCTTAAACTGATACATATATTATTTATGGCTAAATAAATGAGAGGAAATTCCCTATAAATATTTATCGAGGAGCCAAATTAACCATAGAGTACAAAAATTCGTATTATTGATAATAAAACTATTTTAAAACAATTATTATCCCAATTATTATCCCAATAATTTATTGTTTTCGCTTCTTTTAATATTGCGCCTTAACCTTCCTCATATACCCCATTAATCCTTTTTAAATCATAGTTTCCCTGGCTCTCATTTAACCAAAATAAAGCCTGTCCTTTAGCCCTCAGCCCCAATTTCCTGAAAATTAGTTTATGATTCCTGAAGCACGCACAATATTTGCTTATATAACCGTCGAATGAGAGTTGGGAGCACAAAACCCCGGACTGGAGCTTATGTAAAATACATAAACAATTCAGACATGGAGGCCCCCCCCCCTTTCCCCTAAGTAGTACGTCATAGTCACGACAAACAAAACCCCAACACCTGGCACCTCCACCCATCATCCATCGACAAGGTGGGTTTCCTTCATTCACAAAAAATTGAGCAAAGCACAGAGCGCACCCGGAGCTGGGGCTATTGTAATCCCCATGTGGATACTGCGCATGTCCCAGCGCATTTGTGGGCAATCGAACGGAAAGAGACTCACCTCGGCTCTTGGGAATAATGTGCGCCAAGTTCAAGCGGATGCGTTGCGACGGCAATCGAAGAAGCGCGCCAATCAAATGCGCCTCGACTTATGCAACATTTCGTGGTCGAACGGATGAAGTAGTGGCTCTAACCGCGGGATCTTGGAGATCCTGATCCAGGAGGAACACTATACACACTAGTTTTAGGCCAGGCAGCAGTCGCCCCAGCGGAGGGACGTCTTCTGAGACGGACTGTTACGCGTCCTAAAGTGTAACCCGCACATGTGCCCCGGCTGTTGGCAGAACGTGAGAGGCCCGCATTAAACCAAATGCCACCTGGCTCCACGAGACACCAGAGAAGTTGGTCGACTTATATAAAAAATAATTAAAATTTAATGGATGAATTAGATTCCCTCTACCGCTTCAAGGTGCGCGCCACGCGTATCGATTTAGTTGGTAATTAATTTTTGCGATTTAACCAAAGCCATTCGGTGTTCCATAAACAAATAGAGGCAGTCTCGGGCTAGGGGCTAATGGTTAACTAAAGCACGTCAGCCGACGGACCGTGCTGGCGGTTAGAGCGACAAAATTATAACTGAATTGGAAGTTCAAGTACTGGAGTCCCCATCGGCAAACCGATGAAGAAGACGACGGTTTTCGTCGGGAATCGCTTGGAGCCGAGTGGGCGTTCATTTTGTGTATGTGCGCAGGAATTTTAACCGAGTCAGCAGATGAATTGTTGCCTGGAAGCAACGCCGACGCCGACACTCGACTCACGCTTTGGGGGGTGGTTGTCAGCGCAGGGGAAGTTGCCAGCAAAGGTGGTGAAAAGCTCAGCCAATACGGAGAAGTCGAGTGCCCCCCCCGGGTGGAAGAAAACACCATGGTTAAACATTTAAAAAGTCACATTGAGAGGGTCTTAGAGAGTACATAAATTAATGGTCTAGACTAGTTTAAAAGGAAGTCCTAAAATTGGGCTTCCCAGTTAGTAGCCAAACTTCTCGTTCAAGTGGGTTATGCCATCGCCACTCTGGTTGGTGGGCGGCACCCACTTGGCGTACTTCTCGCTGTCCTCGTGCTCGGCCAGCTCGTCCAGGTCCATGTCCACATCCTGGCGCTGTTTGTTGCGCTGTCGTTGGCGTTGACGTCGCTTCTTTTGCAAGAGATCCTCGGCTTCCGGTTCCGGCGTAGAGTCTGCGGGGTGGCCTGTCTTTTCCACGGGCTCTGCTGCTGAAGCAACAGTGTGGTCGTGGCTGTTGCTGTCGCTGTCGCTGCCAACTGTTGAAGTTTCCGCTGAAACTTTTGTTGTTGACATCACGTCGACTGGTTTTAGGACTTCCGGTTCAGCGTTTGCTGGTTTGCTTGCTTCCGCTTCGGCAGGGGGTTCGCTTTCCGGCAAGTTCTTGTGCTGCAAAGGGGAAGGTTCTGCCACAGCTTCCGTTGCCCTCGCATTCTTCTCTTCTTTAGTTACTCCAACTTGCTTCTCTTCTGTTTCCTTGGCCTCTTCTTCCTCGTCCTCCTCTTCGTCCGAGGCAAATGCTTTGGCTTGCGTCTTGGTCTGTGTGCTTGTTGGCGCCTTGACCACCTTAAATTTGCTAAACTGATTCCGCTTGCCTATCATGGGCAGCTGCCGCTTGACGGCCGCACTGCCTTCCTGGCCTGGGGACTCATCCATGGCTGTGGCCCTGCCCGAAGCGAAGGGTAAGGCTGTGGGCTTGGCTATCTTCAGCAATCGCTGCACCTTTTGCTGCTCGCTTTTGAGACGCTGTTGCTCTAGCTATAAGGATAATGGAGGTTAGTGTTGGTCTTTTATTACTTTTCAGTCCCTGCTGCTCACCCTCAGCTTCTTGATCTCTGTCTTGTCCAGTTGCTCGACGTCCTCATTGAGCATGTCCATAAAGTTGTCTAGATCATCGCCCACAGACTTTTGTTTTTCGGTCATTTCCTTTAGCTTTCTTTCCTTCTGCTGGTAGGAACCTATTTCCAGCTCCACCTTGTCCATGAGGGCATTCAGATCGCTTTCCTGCTTGAGCTAAGGAAGACGAAAGTTAGCTAAAATTTCAGGAAAGGCTCAACAAAACCTACCAGATCCTCATAAGTCAAGGTGACACTGGCCCCGCTATTCGCCAGGCGCTGCTTTTTACGCTCCACGTCTCCCGTGCGATCCCAGAAGTCATCCTCGTCGTCCGAGTCGCCTGCCTTGACAATCTTTCTTTTTTGGGCCTCCTGGTTGGCCTGACGCAGCACACCGTGCCTGTCCAGCGTACGGCAAGCCTCCAGGGCACACTGCACCACGCAGTCCTTCTTGCGACCCTTGTGATTCACCTCGACGACAATTGGCCTGCCATTCGAGTCGTCCAGCGGCAGCTCCACGCGACAGACAAAGGATCCGGAGGACAGCTCATCGCACTTGTACTCTAAACTGAGACCCTCGCGCTCGAAAAAGCCACGCAGGGTCTTCTTGGGGTCGTCGAAGAAGGTATCCTCGTTGTTGGTGCTGGCATAGGGATTGTGTGTGAGATCCGTCTCCTCGTCGGCGTCGTCGCCCATGCCCCAGCTAACGCCCTCGTTGCGCTCGCGCTCCTCGGCTGCCAGAATTTTTAGTTCCCGCTCCAGCGCAGCATCGGCGAGCTCCTTGTCCCGTTTTTGCCGCAGCTCCGTCACCGAGAGCTCCGACTCGGGCTCTTCGTCTTCGCCGGGACCCTGCAGGATGTAGACGCGAGTACTGCCGCCCAGCTTGAGCATGTGACCTACCCGCATGCGGATGAAGACCTTTGGCGGCAGGCGCTGCTTGTTCAAGAAGGTGCCGTGGGTGCTGCCAAGATCGTAGACGTACCAGCCCTCCGGCTGTTCGTTCTTCGGCGTATCCTCCTGGTCTCCGTCCTCCTCCTCCTCCTCTTCCTGCTCCTCCTCCTTGGTCGGGGCCTTGGGCTTGTACTGCAGCACGGCATGGAAGCGTGAGATCGTGGGATGGGCGGCAGCCACATCGTTTTCGGGCAGGCGGCCAAAGGTCCAGACCGCCTGTTGCTGTAGCTGGCACACCTGATCGATGATTTGGCCCGACTTGAGCACCTCGAAGCTGTAGATCTGGTCGGCGGCCGGGGGAGCAGACCAGCGGGGCACCTTGTAGGGACAGGCAGCCGCTGGCGAGGATTTTGGAATTTTCGGAACTTTGGGCGGCGGGGGTGGCGGTTCGGTGGGTGCCTCGGGGCGTGGCTTCTCTGTGACGATTACTTTGGGCTTGGGCAGCGGAGCGGGTACCTTAAACTCGTTCATGTTGCCACAAATGGGAAATTTGTATAATTTCCAAGGAGTAAACAAAATTTCGCGAGTTTCGCAGCTGACCTGGGACGCAGTGTGACCAGGTGGCGGGCGGCCGAAGAATGCCAAGCCATGCCAACAGTTGTCCCAAAAACATTTTGAACTTGTTATGAAAAAATAAAGCAAACAAAGCTAAATTCGTGAAATTTATCTATTTAATTTTAATTTATTGTATTTGTTTAACTTTTCTTCTTATTTATTAATGGTAGAAACTAGATTAGATTCGGCAATTGCCTAATGCGATTTTGTCCCAAAAGTGGACAGCGGTGCAAGAACAAGTTGGCAGGACCGCTCTTTAGGACCCCGCTAGTTTTTGTTTTGTTTATTTTTTTTTTCGTTTTAACAACATTTATTTCATGTTTTTTTATAAATTTATATGTTTTTAATCAACATTTTAAGACTCCAGTACCATGGCGTTTTCGCAGTCGTTCGATTTTGGCGACAGCACGTTCATGGAGCTGGAGAAGGGCATGCAGGCGGCAGCCGGCAAGGAGAATTTTCGTCCAGACAATTCCAATGCTAGGTTGAGTGCAGCCAAGACATCCAAGGTTTCCTCCAAGCAGGAGAGCGAAAACTACTCGGACTTTTTCCGGGACGAGTTCTCCTACGAGGTGGAACAAGCCAAAAAGGCAGCGGAGCCTTCGGTGGTCAATGTGTCCCAGATCGAGGCAGCCCTTCTGGAGGAAGTCTCCCATCGCGACTCTGGGGACTTGGACAAGCAAGTCTGCTCTGAGGATGTGTTCGAGGCGGAGGACAGCCCCAAGGAAGATGACCGGGATCTGGCCAATATGGATGAGAGCAGCTTCCTGTGTCCAGTGCAGGATGTGCGGGCATCCCAGCAGCTGAAGGAGGACCTATTACGCAGTCGTTGCATCCTGGCCAAGCAGGGCGACCACCATGAGATCTCCCGCATCACCCAGAACCTCAGCAGCATGTCGCCCAACCAGCTAAGAGTATCGCCCAATTCCTCCAGCATCCGCGAAGCTCAACCAAACTCTTCCAGCATCCGCGAAGCTCATACGAATTCCTCCAGCATCCGTGAAGCTCCGCCCGAAAGAAGCAACCCCCCTGCAGATTTGGAGTCCCTGAAATCCATCGCTTCCTGGAACCTGCCGCACAGCATCCAGAATGAATACAAAAAGAAGGGCGTCCTGCGTATGTTTGACTGGCAGGTGGAGTGCCTCAGCAAGCCCCGCGTGCTCTTCGAACACTGCAACCTGGTCTATTCCGCACCCACATCGGCGGGCAAGACACTCGTCAGCGAGATCCTCCTCCTAAAAACCGTTCTAGAGCGAGGCAAGAAGGTGCTGCTCATCCTACCCTTTATATCCGTGGTGCGCGAGAAGATGTTCTACCTGCAGGACCTGCTCACAACGGCTGGCTATCGCGTGGAGGGCTTCTTCGGAGGCTATACGCCACCCGGCGGCTTTGAGAGCATCAACGTGGCCATTTGCACCATCGAAAAAGCAAATTCCATTATTAACAAGCTCCTGGAGCAGGGCAAACTGGACACTATTGGCATGGTGGTGGTGGACGAAGTGCATCTAATCTCGGACAAGGGACGCGGCTATATTCTTGAGCTGCTGCTGGCCAAGATCCTGTACATGTCACGCCGTAATGCCCTGCAGATTCAAGTGATCACCATGTCCGCCACTCTGGCCAATGTGGAGCTGCTTCAGCGCTGGCTCGATGCCGAGTTGTACATCACGGACTATCGTCCCGTGGCCCTGCAGGAGATGATCAAGGTGGGCACTAGGATCTTCGATAATCAGCTCAAGTTTCTGCGCGATGTCTCCCAGCAGGCGGAGCTGAGAAAGGCTTTGGGCAACGACTCGGACCATGTGGCCCAGCTGTGCATCGAGACGCTGCTGGAGGGCTGCTCCGTCATTGTGTTTTGTCCCTCCAAGGATTGGTGCGAGAACCTGGCCGTCCAACTGGCCACTGCCATGCATGGCCTCATCAAGTCCGGCTCGGATCTGGGCAAAAGTTTGAGGGCTAACCTCAATCCGGAGGCCATCGAGGAGGTGAAGAAGCAGCTCAGGGATATTCCAACAGGTATTGACGCCGTCATGTCCAAGGCTGTTACCTATGCCTGCGCCTTTCACCACGCTGGCTTGACCACCGAAGAGCGAGACATTGTGGAGGCCTCCTTCAAGACGGGAGCTCTGAAGGTACTGGTGGCCACCAGTACCCTAAGCTCGGGCGTCAACCTGCCTGCTCGCCGGGTGCTTATCCGCTCGCCCTTGTTCGGTGGCAAGCAGATGAGCTCCCTCACCTACCGCCAGATGATAGGACGAGCTGGTCGCACTGGAAAGGATACGCTGGGGGAGTCCATACTCATCTGCACGGAAAGCAATGCCCGGATAGGCCGGGAGCTGGTCACGGCCCAGCTGCAGCCCATAACATCCTGCCTCGAGATGGATGGAAGTGTAGGTTGGAGTAAACTTTATCAAGCAAATCTCTTAAAGAACTTTCATTTGCAGACTCACTTGAAACGCGCTCTCCTGGAGGTCATATCCTCGGGGGTGGCCAGCAGCAGACAGGACATAGATTCCTTTGTCAATTGCACTTTGCTGAGTGCCCAGAAAGCCTTAGGAGCTGCATCTGCCAAAGAAGAGGACTCTGAAGGGAACTACATCAGTGATGCCCTGGACTTCCTCGTGGAGTACGAATTCATTCGTCTCCAAACAGATGAGGAGGCGGACACTTCCTCTTATGTGGCCACTCGCCTGGGAGCCGCTTGCTTGGCCTCCTCCATGCCACCCACCGATGGCCTCATACTCTTTGCCGAGTTGCAGAAATCCCGCCGCTGCTTTGTCCTAGAGTCCGAACTTCATGCTGTCTACCTGGTGACGCCCTACTCGGTGTGCTATCAGCTGCAGGATCTCGACTGGCTGCTGTACCTGGACATGTGGGAGAAACTGAACCCGGCCATGAAAAAGGTGGGAGAACTGGTAGGGGTCAAGGAGGCCTTTCTAGTCAAGGCTATGAGGGGGCAAACGAAGCTGGACTACAAGCAAATGCAGGTGCACAAGCGGTGAGTTGATGGGATTGGATCTCATCTAGCTAGTCCCGCCTAGAATACATTTCTTCTTTTGTTTAGTTTCTACACAGCTCTGGCCCTGCAGGAGCTGGTCAACGAGACTCCCATCAATGTGGTGGTTCACAAGTTTAAGTGCCACCGCGGCATGCTGCAGAGTCTCCAGCAGATGTCCTCCACCTTTGCGGGCATTGTGACCGCCTTTTGCCACTCCCTGCAGTGGTCTACCCTTGCCTTGATAGTCTCCCAGTTCAAGGATCGTCTGTTCTTTGGCATTCACCGGGATCTGATTGATCTGATGAGGCTGCCCGACTTGTCGCAGAAGCGGGCGCGTGCCCTCTTTGATGCGGGTTTCACCAGCTTGGTGGAGCTGGCGGGTGCGGATGCCTTGGAGCTGGAAAAGGTGCTCTTTAACTCTCTCAGCTTTGATTCGGCCAAGCAGCATGACCATGAGAACGCCCAGGAGGCAGCCCTGCGCAACAAGGTAAGAAACTTTTTCATTACCGGCAAAGCAGGCATGACAGTGGCGGAAGCTGCCAAGCTGCTCATCAACGAAGCTCGCCAGTTTGTACAGTATGAGATTGGAGTGGGCAGCATCAAGTGGAGTCAGGAGCAGCCAGAGGTTGGGGAGGGTTCAAAGTCCCTGGACAGCGGAATGGAGGTGGAAATGCACATGTCTTTAGAGGAGCAGCACCCTCAGGTAGAGGTTCCTTCAACAAAGCGAAGGCTGAGAAGCCTAGAAAGGAATAATAAGGCTGAAGAGGCTTCGCAACCCAAAATAGCTAAGCTGGATTTACGAGTGGAAGAAAAAAAGAAGAGCAGTGAGAGAATACAGCGACGTTCTCAAGGTTTGAATCGAAGTCTTAACAAGGATAAGCAGCAAAAGTTAGCCGAGAACAAGCCGAAATCATGCCCTTTTACTGGAAATATCCAAGAATCTGAAAGGCCAACAAAGACGCCCTTAAAAGATGAAAATGGGAGTTTGGGGAAAAAGGATTCAAGCTCAGAAAATACTCCAAAAATTAAAGAAAAACCTACAGTTTCCTCCCCTAATAATACACCAAAGAAAACCCCATCAACAGAGTTTCCCAAAGAAAACATTTCAAGATCAGTTCAAAAACCAAGTTCAGAGATTAATAAAGAAACCAAAGCCATGACTAGCATCTCTAGGTCACCCACAGTAGAGGAGGAACAGCCCACCACTAGTGTCCAAGCCCGCAAGGAGCTTCTGAAAAAGGAGATAGCTGAACGCCGCAGGATTGCCCTGATGAAAATCAATCAGAAGCGGGCAGAGCGGGCTGCCACGCCTCCCATCGAGCAAGGTCCAAGCTTAGTAAAGGAGGCAACCACTACTCCAAAGCCAAATAAAGATCACACAGAAAAAGAAGTACCTAGGAGCAACAAGGAGAACTTGGCAGCCAAGCCCTTCAAGGAACCCTTCACCAAAGAGCCCTCAGTGACCCCCACACGCAGGCAGAGTGTAACTCCAGCTACTACCCTACCCCGCCGGAGTCCGCGAAATCATACGCCCACCCAGACTCAGACCCAAAGCCGCACTGCCTCAAGAAAGCCTTCCACGGCTGAGGAGGATCTGTTTATGGCCGACGATTCCTTTATGCTGAGCTCGGGAGTTACGGCTGCCCTCACAGCTGCCGATAGCAAGATGCCAGCACATGCTTCTTCAGAGACAGATGAGATACCCAGCTCTCAGCCCAAAGAGCCGGAGTTGGTGGCCACTGCCCTGACGCCACATGCCTCCAGGCTGATGCGCTCATTCCAGCTGCGTTCGCAAAGGATGCAGAGTCCCAGGACGCAAGCCAAGGAACCGGAGGTGTTGCCCACAGAAACCACAAACTCCTCGAATGCAGCCTCCTCCATGGAGCTCTCGGACATGTCGCTGGAGAACTCACTGATCAAGAATCCCCTGCAGCTGAATGCCTCCCACATCCTCAGTTGCTCCAAGGCGGATGACAATGCCTCTAGTTTTAGTAGCATCGACATTATTGACATCTGTGGCAACCGACAATTGTTCCAAATGGCACTCATGGAGCTCTTGGAGGCCACGCGTTGCGGCTTCAGTGTGGCTCTGCAGGCACAGGCAGGCAGACAGAAGCCACTGATTGGAGCCAATCTGCTGATTAACCAGGTGGCGGCAGCTGAGCAGCGAGAGGCTGCTGCTGGACAGCAGGTGCTGTTCCAGGTGGACGACAGCTGCTTCATAGCTGGTTTGTCTTTCTGTCTGGCAGACAATGTGGTTTACTATTTGAATATGCAGGAGGAGGAGCAGAAGCAGGGACAGGGAGTGGTGCCCACAAGTCTGAAGGAGCAGGAGTTGTGCAAACTGTTGGCACGCCCGGAGTTAACCCTCATCATGCACGACGGCAAAGAGCAGCTGAAGAAGCTCTTAAAAGCCATGCCTAAGCTGGGCAAGATTGTTGTGAAGCTGGAGGATCCCAAGGTGGGCAACTGGCTGCTGCAGCCGGACAAGACGCTCAGCTTTCAGAATATGGTAAAAGTTATAGCTAAAATCTTTAAGGAATTTGTTTTTATATAAATTACTCCTCCAGTGCCAGCAATTTGCTCCGGAGTGCTCTTCTCTGGCTGATCTCTGCGGCAGTGGTCGTGGTTACACCAGCTATGGTCTCGACAGCTCTAGTGCCATATTGCCCAAGATTAGAGCCTCCATCGAGGCCTGTGTTACGGTGCACATACTCAAAGGACAGCTGGAGAATCTGGAGAGGATTGGCGATGGACAGCTGCTCAAGTTTTTCCGGGGTAAGTTTGAGTCTGAAAATGTTCTGATTTCAGAGATATAAAGTAATATTCTTAGAGATAGAAATGCCCATTCAGCTGTCCCTCTGCCACATGGAGGTGGTGGGCTTTCCGGCCAAGGAGCAGCGACTTCAGCGTCTCTTCCAGCACATGGTGGCCGTGATGAAGAAGCTAGAGACCAAGATCTACGAGCAGCATGGCTCGCGGTTTAATCTCGGCTCCACGCAGGCCGTGGCCAAGGTACTAGGACTCCATCGCAAGCCATCGGGAAGGGTGAGTACCTCCCGGCAGGTTCTAGAGAAGATAGACTCGCCCATTTCCCTGCTCATACTGGCACACCGTAAGCTGAGCACGCTGCTGGCCAAGAGCATGCAGCCTTTGCTCAAGTGCTGCGAGTCCAACAGAATCCATGGTCAAAGCATCACCTACACGGCCACGGGTCGCATCTCCATGACGGAGCCAAATCTGCAGAATGTGGCCAAGGACTTTGTGATAAAACTAGGAGCGGATGGCATAAACATATCCTGCCGTTCGGCCTTTGCTCCTTTAGATGAAAAGATGTGTCTACTCTCAGCAGACTTTTGTCAGCTGGAGATGCGCATCCTGGCCCACTTGTCGCAGGACAAGGCTCTGGTAGAGGTGATGAACTCGCCGCAGGATCTGTTTACAGCCATTGCGGCTCACTGGAATCGCTTGGAGGAGTCCGAGGTGTCGGAGCACATGAGGAATGGCACCAAGCAGATCTGCTATGGCATTGTCTACGGCATGGGCATGCGCAGCCTGGCCGAGTCGCTGAAGTGCACGGAGCAGGAGGCGCAATTGGTGTCGGAGCAATTCCATCAAGCCTATCCGGGCATTAGAACCTACACCCAGAAGGTGGTAAAGTTCGCCCGCAATAATGGCTATGTGGAGACCATCACGGGACGCAGACGCTACTTGGATCACATTAACAGTGGCGAAGCTCAACTAAAGAGTAAGTAGGACATGGGAATGAAGGTTCATCCTTAATGATTTGGCTATAATTTCCCTTTTCCTCAGATCAGTCCGAGCGCCAGGCCATCAACTCCACCATCCAGGGCTCCGCCGCGGATATTGCCAAAAGCGCCATTCTCAAAATGGAGAAGAACATCTCTCGCTATCGGGAGAAGCTGGGTGTAGCCGAGAATGCAGTCAACCTTGTGCTCCACCAGCACGACGAACTGATCTTCGAGGTGCCCGCCGACAAGGCCAAAAAGATAGCCAAGGTGCTAAGCCTAACCATGGAGAACTGCGTGAAGCTTAGCGTGCCGCTCAAGGTGAAGCTGAAAATGGGACGCAGTTGGGGGGAAATCCAGGAGATAAGGGTGTAGTTTAAAACATTTCTTTTTTAGGGTAATAAATTGTATACAATTTATTAAGGAATAATTATTAGTTCCCGGCTTGCTTCGCCTCCCACTCCGTCCAGGAACCGGCATAGGCCTTGGCACTGAAAGAAATTTTTACAAAATCTGAATTAGAAAAATTTTTACAAAATAAGAATTACAAAAACTGTTACAAAATTAAATTAAAAAACATTTTTTAATTAAATTTATAAAAGTTAACCCTTACTTTGTATAACCCAAAGTGCCAGCCAAATTAGCAGCCCTGGCAGCACGCCCTCCTGCCTTGCAGGAGAAGATCAGCACCGCATCCGGTGAAGGCTTCTCGCGTCCATAGGCCTTGGTGAATTCCTCATTCGGCAAGTTCAGAGCCTTCTCCAATTCGGGCACTGGAAAGAGGAGAAGGGTGTGGGCGACCATTAAGCCGGCTAATCCCTGGACTTTGGAGCTCCCCACTCACATGGTATGTTTATGCTGGCAGGCAGGACACCGGTTTCCTTCAGCTCTGTTTCGTTGCGGACGTCGAACAGGTACTTTTTCGGATGGTTGGGCACATCCTTGACTTCCTCGTAGGTGGCCATAGCAGCAATTTAAGAGTATATTTCAATTAAAGCTAAATAAACCCGGTAAGCTTCCGTATCTCTAGTGTGACTGCCAAGTCACCCTTCCAATATACCAAGTTTAGTGGTGACGTAGTGCTGCCAGACGGTTTAGTTTATAACGAATTCTATTTTGAATATTTATTTAGGGGTTTTAATTTACGTTAAAAACACAACGAAATATTTTAACGGAATTTAACTTGTTAGAAATTATAAGTTTACTTTAAACAAAAAAAGAAATCTCAAACCCTTTTAAAAAATGATTAAAACAAAATGGAGTAACATTTTCTGTCTAATTTTTCCCAATTACATTTTTTAAATTTAGAAATTAAATTTAAAACTTTTTTTTTTAATATTAACAATTTTAATAATGCAAGAAACCCCTTTAAAAATTATACAAAAAATTTATTTAATTTAGTTGTCTAATTTTATCCAATTTGTGTATAATTTTGCATATAATTATACCCTTGCAGGGTATTTCAGTCAGAAGTTTGCAACGCAGTGAAGGAGACGTTTCCGACCCTATAAGGTATATATATTCTTGATCAGCATCAACAGCCGAGTCGATCTAGCCATGTCCGTCTGTCCGTCCGTCTGTCCGTCTGTCCGTTTCTACGCAAACTAGTCCCTCAGTTTTAAAGCTATCTGAATGAAACTTTGCATATAGTCTTCTATATATTCTCACTGCTATATATGTCGGAACGGGCCGGATCGGACGATTATATCATATAGCTGCCATACAAATGTTCGATATATTTTTGGAAAAAAAATTATAACTTTGCTGTTTTGATGATGCAGATGAGCATCACTGATGCAGATGAGCATCAATGATGCAGATGAGCATCAATGATGCAGATGAGCATCACTGATGCAAATGAGCATCACTGATGCAAATGAGCATCACTGATGCAAATGAGCATCACTGATGCAGATGAGCATCACTGATGCAAGTGAGCAAAACTTTTCATTCAAATTGGCCGCTTTCCAAACTGGGGTAACAGGCGAACAGAAATCAGCAGCAAGCAACTGAAAACTGGTATAAACTGTTATAAAAACTTTTGGGCAAAAATAATAATTGGTATAAACTGTTATATTTCATTGTATGCATTTATACCTATTTGTTGCCGACAACAACAGCTTTATGGCAACAACAACCTTTTTACAACAACATCCCTACAGCAGCCCATCCAAATTTCTGAACATTTCCATGCAAATTGCCCGTTTCCCAAATTGGGGTAACAGGCGAACAGAAATCAGCAGCAAGCAGCTGAAAACTGGTATAAACTGTTATAAAAAGTCAAAGTTTCGAACCATGGATCTTGGAGTAAGCGAAGACTCAAACCAGATGTGACCATATTGTAAATTTTTTGGCTAAAATGTTGCTTTAATGCACCTGGGCACACTGAAACTGACTTTGCATCAGTGATGCTCATCTGCATCAGTGATGCTCATCTAGCTATATTGCAATAGTGGGAGGCTATAAAATCGGGCTTAATGGCAGTGATGCTCATCTGGCTATATTGCAATATTGGGAGGCTATAAAATAAGACTTTGCATCAGTGATGCTCATCTATCTATTTTTTCCCAATAAAGAAATATAGCTAGATGAGCATCGCTGCTATTAAGCCTGATATATTGCCTCCCAATATTACAAAATAGCCAGATGAGCATCACTGCCATTAAGCCCGATTTTATAGCCTCCCACTATTGCAATATAGCTAGATGAGCATCACTGATGCAGATGAGCATCACTGATGCAAAGTCAGTTGCAGTGTGCCCAGGTGCATTAAAGCAACATTTTAGCCAAAAAATTTACAATATGGTCACATCTGGTTTGAGTCTTCGCTTACTCCAAGATCCATGGTTCGAAACTTGGACTTTTTATAACAGTTTATACCAGTTTTCAGCTGCTTGCTGCTGATTTCTGTTCGCCTGTTACCCCAATTTGGGAAACGGGCAATTTGCATGGAAATGTTCAGAAATTTGGATGGGCTGCTGTAGGGATGTTGTTGTAAAAAGGTTGTTGTTGCCATAAAGCTGTTGTTGTCGGCAACAAATAGGTATAAATGCATACAATGAAATATAACAGTTTATACCAATTATAATTTTTGCCTAAAAGTTTTTATAACAGTTTATACCAGTTTTCAGTTGCTTGCTGCTGGTTTCTGTTCGCCTGTTACCCCAGTTTGGAAAGCGGCCAAATTTTAGAAATTTTGCTCACTTGCATCAGTGATGCTCATGTGCATCAGTGATGCTCATTTGGCTATATTTTGCAATATTGGGGGGCAATAAAATCGGGCTATATGGCAGTGATGCTCATCTAGCTATTTGGTCATATTGGGAGGCTATAAAATCAGGCTTAACGGCAGTGATGCGCATCTAGCTATTTTGCATTATTGGGAGAAAATGGCATTTCACTAACTGCCAGTGATGCTCATCTAGCTATTTTGCATTAAAATGCCATCTCACTTACTACCAGTGATGCTCATTTCATTGTTCTTATAGGAATAGGAAAAATAAAATAAAACAAAATAATATAAAATAATGTATTTTATTGTTTTTATTTAGGTTCATTAACATAGAATAAAATAAAGTATTTTAAAATTAAAATGTTGCTTGTTGTGTTCGTTGCTGTTGTTGTAAAAGTAGCCGGCAGACCTGACTGGAAGTCCTATTTATGACAGATTAAGAGAGTCTTTCTAGCCATGTCCGAAGAAAAAAAAAATTTTGATTTCTTAAAATTGAGAATTCAATAAGCAGATTTGTTTAGCTAGAAAAAAATAACACAGAAAAGCTTTCCGAATTGAAATTAATGTATTTTTGATCGATTTTTGGTTCCATGCCATGATCCTATGGCTAACTGTAAGGGTAGACAAAATTCGGCTTCCCGGAGATAGTTTTCATTCTTGTTTTATTTTAATTTATATATTATATATTTATTATTATTATTTATTTTAATAAGAGCGATTCAAGATGTTTATCATTTGCTTTTGGCCTTCAGATTCCACAAAAAGACCTCCAATTTCTCATTTTTAAAGGCTTTAAATATTTATTTTTAAAAGAAAATTTTAAAGTTAAAAAAAAAATCATAAAATTAATTTGCAGCAAATTAATAAATCTTTATTTGGTCTTAGGAATTTAATCTAGAATAAAATGTAATCATAAATATTTTAGTTTTTAGTTTATTTAAAAGAAAAAGGTACACTCTTTTTAAAAATAAAAATATCAATGAATTAATTTCCCTCCATGGCCACAAATCTGCAAAAACCAACAAGCGACACATTTAAAATTGTTCATTTTATTGTTTATACAATTTATAAATCAGTTTCAATTTCACAATTAATAATATTCAAGAATTCACTAAATAATTACAAAATAGTCGAAGCACAGGCCATAATTTGCACTAAAAAAAATTGTAAATTGCACAACGTTTTCATCATTTTCTTAGGGTCTTGGTGGTGGTGTGGGCATCTCTCGAACAAATATTAAATAGGATTGCAAAATAAATACAGGAAACACATGCTTTTCGCACGCCCACGCTTTATAGTTTGTAAACTTCAGTATTCCTTATATACTACGGCGTATCAAAAGTGGTTCTTTTTGCAAATTAACGACCCTTCTCGATGTGCAGCATCGACATTTAACCTAGATATTGTATACAGTTTAACTTCATGCTCTTTCATTGGCATTGAACAATTATTTCATTACACATTCCTTAAGTCAACAACGACACATAGACTCTGATCTTGTCCTAGTCTGGTTCCACTTTACACTACTCCCTCCGCTCTGCTCGCTCTTCACAATCGATTATCCAAAAATATACTATGTTTTTTGTAAATTCTAAGAATTTATGATTGATATCTCATGCGTTTCAATGCGTGTTTTCTTTTTTTAATACCCAGCTTAGCGCGTTCATAACGAGTATAGTACATAAAAATGGCAGTCGCCTGCACAGTGATTGAATATAAAACAAATCGAAACAAAGTGCATCCTTGGTCTCTATGTGATCTTTTTGTGTACGTGTGGCTGTGTGGATCGGGTGTATATATATTACAGGGCACTATTCGTAGCGCTTTGACGGTGGCACCAAGTGCTCCGGCAGCACGGTGGGCAGCTCGCAGCCTTCCAGCTTGACGTTGATTAAGTGCAAGGCCAGCGCGAACTCATCAGAGTCCAGGAAGCCATCGCCATCGACGTCCGACAGTTTCCAGATCTTGCTGAGCACCGAGTTGGGCAGTTTCGATTTGATGAGCTCCTGCTTGGCAGCTGCAAGTGGATTTATTGATTAGCTTTCTAACTTGAGGAGATATTATTCAGGAGAAGGTACTTACTTGCACCGGAAATCTTGCCATCAACGGGTCCCAGCCCATTAAAGATGCCGTCTGTGCGTGGTTTGTCCTTGTTGCAGATCCAGTCGTGCTCTCCATAGCCGGCATCGATGCCCTCACCCTTCATGTAGCCGAAGGGCGAGACGTGGTCGTCGATGACTCCCTCGAAGGCACCACCTGGAGCAAAGGAAACGAAGGAGAAAGGATTAGTTTGGTGCTAAAAACTCAAAAAATTAGCAAAATAAATCGATATTGTATTGATCTTTTAAACGGAATTCGATATATAAATCGATCTGTGCGATAAATAAGAATATACCTCTTTTAAATCGTACAAATAAACTCCAATACCAATCTTTATAAAATAAAATTAATATTTTAAAATTCTAGATATCGAGGTTTACAATATATTCGATTTGATATTGGACTTTTCTCCTCCATATATGTACACACATCCCTTATTTGCATTAATTAAGCATGTAATCTAAGTCGATCGGTGCGTCGCCGTGCACAAACATTCAATTTGAGGCAATTAAAACCTTCAGATCGTTTAGGCTCCGCAATTGACGTCGCCGCCGTATCGTGACTAGGCCGGCTGACCGACTTAAGCACGTACTTTGCCGGCTACAACTACGACGGTCTACCTACTTTAACAGGCAATTGTGGTGCACATTCTGGGAGCAATTGAGATGGGCGGCTGACCAGGCGGTGCAGGTTGCCAAGTGCGTTTTAAATTCACTTTTTTTTTGAAGTTGCCACTTTCAACTGTATGTTGCTCAATTTGTTTGCGGCCTCTTGCTGTCGCAACGGGCAATTTAAAAGGCCGCCGCTTGGAGACAATATATTACAAAAAAACTAAAGCATACAATTGTTTTCTTTACACGAAATGAGATTTTCTTGCCACTGATATATATCATAAACTACAGTGGTGCTTACGTCCAAGTCCGTCCCTGTTCCCGAATCCGGATCAGCCTCAGGCTCAGTGGCAGGCCTAGTTTCTACCTCGGGCTCTGTTTCAACCTCCTGCTCTGTACCCAGTTCAGGCTCTGTTTCAGTCTCAGCTACTGTTTCTGGACCAGGATCCGCTTCCTTGTCATTCTCGACATTGCCCACCCGACTAGTACAACTGCTGAACAATCGGAGCTGCTGTTGGCGCAGGTTCTGCAGCCAGCGATCGAAGCGCTCGGCAAACTGCTCCCGCTGAGAGCTGGGGGTTAGAAGATCAGGCTCCGCGGCCACATCGAAGTCATCGTCTGAATCCTCTTCGGGTATGCAAGAAGAGAAGAGAAAGAGAAAGAGGGTTTTGACAGAGGAGGAGCACTGTTACAGTGGAGCATCTGGACAGTGCGGGAGTGCCAATCGGACATAGAAAACCAACTCAAACTCATATTCAAATTCAAAGCAAATTAGTGTGCCAATGGCGAAAAACGATAAGAACCAAGTACCAAAAAGAAATATCGGCGAACAGAACAACTTATTTCTGCAATATCGTGTTAGCTGTGTGTATAAACCATTTAGCGACAGATTGCTAAACATGTGATGTCGGTGTCGGTGTCGATGTGATTGGTGAAGGAAGTGACTCAAAAGATGGAAGCTCAAAACCTGACCAAGTGCTATCGAGGGCACGGTCCAGATCAGGCTGATAAATTGTAACAAACTACAAAGTGACAAGTTCATTAGCATTACACAGCCAGTAAGATCTTGAAATATTCTTTAAAGTTTTTATAAAAATTATTATATTACTAGGAAAATAATAAAGCTTAAATTTGTCAACAGAATTTCCCTTACGATAAACATCTCTAACACTGTACAGGGTATCAGCTAAACTTATCTCGCTTCCAAGTCAATTACCCAAGACAAAACAACGGAAATGCACTGAAATAAAGTCGAAACTGTGCAGCGATCGCTACATAAACGAAATCAGAGATACAGATACACACAGAGCAACAGAAAAACACAGAGGGACAGAGCGACTAAATTAGGGGCCCGAGAGTTCTTGACTTTGATTTCGAGCAGTTTGATCGTGATTCGCTTTATCAAGGCATTCCTTCTCCACCGTTTCGGGGGTATGTCTTCGCCTCTGGTGTAATAATAAACGAAAAGTTCATTCACTTGCGGCGAATGCAAGTGAGAGATTTTTTTCAGGGGGCTATCGAATTTTCCAAACTACAGCATAATAAAAACACACATTCGACACTTGAATGTGGCGGATGACACACTCTGTGAAATAATGATCGCATGACATCAGTGTCGATCAGCTTTGGACATCATCCATTGAATTTTGCATAGATTTGCGAATATTTTGCGGCTTGCTTTCTTTCGCACAAGGTCATGTGAAATGCGCTAATAGTTAAATTAAAATCGCCACTCAAGTGGCCCACTGAAAAGATCAGCCACGACGGGGGCATCCGACAACAATGCTATTGTAAAAAACAGAATGAAATGGAATAAATCCCGAACATATATCATCGTAAATGCTTTCTTCCTGCACTTAGCGCTAGCCCAGCTCATCTAGAATTCCCATTCCCCTCCGGGAATCCGTGCGCGGATTAGGCGGAGGATGAGCCACTTAGTGGTGCCACACGCCCAAAGTCAGCATCGGAGAGCTGCAAATTGATACGCGGCCTCAGGTTGCCAGCGCCATCTAGAGTATATCTGACGACAACCGGTTCAGCTTTCGGTTGAGCTGGGATCGTCTCCATGGGCTCGGTTCTGGGATCTGGGGTTTGTTTAAACAGCTTTGCCTCATGACAAATGCACGGGACGATCTTCTCTGTGGACCGAAGAGCTTTCCAGCTCTCTCTTAAAAGGCCGTAAATATTGGAATTCAAAGTTTTATTATTTACTTTTGCCATTTTAAATTGCTTTGCCTATTAAGAGATAATTATTTTCATTCTCCTTGTCTGGCAGTCTATGTACACTAATAATCCTATCACACGCCTCTCGGTTTTACTTTTGTAGAGCCCCCATCCGTATAGGGCATGAAGAATAGTGTGTATGCGAGAATTTGATAATAATAATTTATGATTAATGGGGGTTTAGCCAGGCAGTCAGTTTTTTTCTATAAAACAAACAGCATAGGAAAGCAGAAAATATCTGTTATCAATATTTAATGTAAAAGTCCAATGTATAATTCGATCTATTTATTTTGCATTATACAACAATAAATTCAATTGGGTTTGATATATCGGACCAATATCATCCACAACAAGAAACTAACTTCGAATCATCATATCACACATTTCCTTTCTATTTACAAAACTATTAAAACGCCCTGTTTGTTGATCAAAGATAAATTAAAAGTAATTATCAATTTGAAATTATCATTTTCCACAAGCTTTTATCTTAAATGGCCTATTATATATGATATCTTATGGGTTATATCTAAGCTCAAACTAATTACAACTAAAATTAGAGTTAAACTTTAAAGAATATAGCACTAATTCCAAGATTATCTAATAACTTTATCTCAAAAACCCCAATGTCAGCGATGCCCAGTTCAAGTATACAACTTTTACTAGCCACAGTGGCATAGTTATTACTTAATTATACTGTTTACTTGGCAGATAAACAAAATTAGAGCACTGCTAATCATTGCAGACCAGACGGGGACAAAGCTAAGTTCGTTTGCAGTGAAACTTAGACTCAGGAGCTATCTGATAAGGCGTCTTTTGATGATGGCATGCTGACTCGGCCTTACATTGATTTTTATCTAACAGTCTCTGAACGGCGAGCAACATCATTGCCTGGCAACACGATAAGGGTCGGGGCAAACAAAGTCACTTGGCACTGGCACAGGCACTACTAAGCAATTCATGGGGGAACGCGAACAGGTGCATGCGGGAAAAGCGCCACGGAAAGTGTAATTAGGCCTTGAACTCGAGGGCCACGCACAAAGTTCACAGGTCGCAGTAAACTGGAATTGCCTTTCAATTAGAGTCTCAATGTTCAGACTTTTATAGACTGTGATTGTCTGTCGGAGGCGCCTAGTCTCTGATTAACTATATATAGGCTGCCCCCTGCTCTGCCTCTCGCTCTCTCATCCCACTTGATGATTGTTTTGCTGGGCGTTTTGGCTCGGCTTCGAGTGCGTGGCATTCGTCACGGTTGCCTGGATGCGTCTGCTCCGGAGAGCCAGCCAGATCCGATTCAGCCACTAGGCGCTCGAGTGTAAAATATTTATCATGCCCAACTGTACGCCTCGTTTTATTTTCTTTCCGTTTTTTCCTGATGACTCATGCTCGCCTAATTTAAAGGCAAAGTTGCCGGCTATCGATATTTTCCATTGCTTACATCATGAGCCCCCGAACGAACGAACGAACGAACGAAGGAATCTTATCAACACCGAGGAGCAAGAACAGTCAACTTGCCTTACTTCTTGCCATGACGAAAGCAATTCGATAATTATTGACATACAAATACCAGAATTTCCTAGAGGCCACGCCCAGCGCACATCGCCTATTGCCCACTTTCAAGTACAAAGTAGCTGGTTATCACAAAATATTTATGTATGATACGAACCTACGTGGTTCCGTGCGATATTCGCTTCCACCTCAATGTTTAAATTGGAACACAAAGTGCGTGTGTGTTGTGTTAGCTAAACACCGAACTGACACCGACTTTTTTGCAGGCGTTATCAGCCTTTTGGGGCTTATCACTTTGTTTATATAGCTCAAATATGCTTCGCATATAATATATAGGGTTATATATAGACGTTGCTAGCGGGATTGCATAATTCGACGGGGGACAGAAACAGGAAGCTGTGGCCAGGGAAAGCCGCCTAAGATGTCCATTTGGGCGCGCTTCCAGCGGCTTTCATTGCGGCTGCAACTGTGGCTGTAATTGTATCCATTAGATACATTTGGCTGTGGCCTAGCTCTCCAACCGAATCTAGCTCTCTTGCTCGCGGGCAAAACTCGTTTTTCTTGGCAAAAATAAAAAACTAGGTTAACTGGGGAATTTTTCGCGCTGCGCATGCGCAATATTTCAGCGCGATGGGAAAGCGAAAACGAAACACTCGCGGAAAACCAAGATTTCTCGGTTGGATTTACAGTGATTCCACCCGGCATGAGTCGACGGCTGACGGTTCTATCATGCGGGTAACTAGCTGGTGCGGCGTGACAAATTGCGACTTAGTGAGGCTGAACTCTACTCACCCTTTACTACGGGCTCCGAGACAAGCGTCATCTCCTCCTGGGGGATCATCTCCATGAGTCGCGCTATGTCCTTGGCCAGCATATTGTCCACAATGTCCAGCAGGTGGGGTTTGAGTGAGTGGAACTTGGTAAAGTCCTGGTGCTGCAGCACCTCCTGCATTTTCTTGATGTCGGGGAAGTCTCCGGGCGAGATGGAGTGCTCGCGCTGGATGCGATCGTACACCTGACCCAGGTTCTTGATCAGATCCTTCTTCTTGCTGTCCTTGCCGAACACCGAGGGCATATCCTTGCGCAGCTCGGCAATGATGAAGGCGTGGACCTTGGCGAGGCGCGCACGCTTGATCAGATCGTTCAGCTTGCGCAGGGCAGCGTTGCGCGGCAGCGACTGCAGGTCACGGAACAGATCCTGCTCCTCGTCCTCGAAGAGCCGGCGATTGGCATCGAAGCGCAGAGGCTGGTCCCAGAACGAGCCAATGTATACGCGCGCCACCTCGGGTGTCTGCAGCACCTTGCCGAGCGACCACATCAACGCCCCGTAGACCCGCATCAACTGCTGGTGATCGATCATGTCCGCCTTGTTCAGGATGATGCGAATCTTGTCGTCGTGGCCCTTGAGCGCCTCGATCGAGCGCCGGAACTCGTCCGAGATGTCCAGCTTGTGGGCGTCGAACAGCAGAATGATGCGATCCACGCGCTCCGCGAACCACTCCAGCACTCCGGTGAAGTCGTAGCCTCTGTCGATGCGCTGCTTCTCGCCGGACAGAATGCCGGGCGTGTCCACAATGGAAATGGCGTTCAGTACTGGAGAGGCCACGCTGCTGCACTGGAAGCGGTTGAGGAAGGCGTTGCCGTACTTGGACAGCGGGCGGAACTGCTTCTTGGGGTCCACCACCAGGGCGTTGCCGGGAATCACGCCCTCCTTATCGTCGTACATCACAGCGATGAAGCGATCCGTTGTCGGCTCCGGGCCGATACGGATGCCTGGGAAATCGCGCTCCAGCAGGTAGCGGATGAAGGTCGTCTTTCCTGTGGAGTACTGGCCCACCAGCAGAATCATGGGCTTGGCATCGAAGTCCGGATCCTCGAGCTTGGGCGAGTGGAAGTCATGGAACTGATAGTGCTCCTCCAGCGGCAGCAGCTTGCTCCGGTAGATCTTCTTCAGCTCGCCAATGACATTCTCCACCACCTCTTGGGTGTTCTTCTCGCGCTTGAGGAAGCTGAACATGACGAAAGAGCAGCACAATTAGCACAAACCGGAATACGGGAAATTTCGAGGGGTCGCGCGGCCGTAGTGCTGAGTGCGAAGTGTACGGTTCTTGTTGTGTTGGCGCGGAGTACGGTGAATTCACGACAGTTACGGCGATTTTGTGGCTACGGGCGGGTGTGTACACTCGAATCGGGCGCTGCGCTGGGACGTGTGGCGAATGATTCACGCGCGTATACGTATTATTTTTGGAATATGAACTTTTTTTCCTCTGGACCGATATCGGACCAAGGCTGCAATCGACAATCGCTATCGCTGTCGCTGGCAGCGCTGCTTTGGCCAGTGTTATCGGCTATCGGTGCTTTGTTTCAAAGCTCTCGCAGACGGTCACACTGGCAGCGAGGCGGGCGCTTTTATCGATTTTCGAATTGGAGTATAAACTTACCTGTCCCCTGCATCTCGGCGAGACATGGCTGCGTCCAAATAATAAAATCAGGTATACACAGAATTTTTGAAAAAGGTTTTTATCTGGTAAGTTTAGGAACAGTACCCAAACTTGAATATCAAATGTTATAAAGATCTACAATAGTCAGAGGCTACGCCGATCCCTGAACTCAGCTCTAGGGCTTTATAAGCTCCACATCATCATCGGTGCTGTGAGGAATGGCTGGATCAAGACCGAAATTCATCTTCATTATGTCGCAGAACACAGAGAGGAATATGAAGGCGTCTACAAAGTGGTTGATGATGAAGCCCACTCTTCTGTCCTTGGGATTGTGCATGCTGATCAGGGACTGAATGATAAGCAGTATTCCAGCAGCCACCTGAGAATTAAATCCACAGCTTTTAGTTCTCTAATACTTTTATTTATTCTCCTTTACATCTTAGGTGTACAAAATAGCCTTAAATCTATATGGTTTTGGTGTAAATCGTTGGTGTTACGGTGTCTTTGCATGCTGTTCGAGGAGTCGGAGTGGCTGCGAGGAGTACTCTATGCCGAAACCGGATATGATAACATTCACCACGGATATAATGAATACCACGACCAAAATAACATCGTTCAGGATAATCGCTGCCGTCTGATCCTGCTGCTTGTTTATGTTGAGACTGCCGATGGCCACAAACAGAATGCCCACCAGGAGCTGTCGGAATATGGGATATACATGGATATATAAGTTAGTTCACATCGTTTAGCAGCTCGCCCTGCGGCGGCGGCAGACGACTGTCAAAGGCCGAGATAAATAGATTTATCATCGTTGTGAAAAAGGCAAAACCCGTGCGGACATGGTTTATGATATTGGCCGACTGGTGAAACTCTGGCTGGTGCAGCCGGCAGTCCCGCAGCAGGCTCAGGGATAGGCTCAGGACGCCCGACAGGACCTACACAGAGAAAAACACAACAATGTCAGTTTCTTTACCTAAAATATTTCTAATACTTCAATCTAGGTGCTTTTAGATATAGAAATCTTATCAAAACAACACTATATGGTACGAAATAGAAACATCACTAGATTTACTTCATATTATTTTGCTAACTTTACACTATACTTTTCACCAAAAAATCTATCATCTAATGATACCAACTTATTTACATTTTTCTCTATGTAGGTCCCTTTAGGAATTAGCCATAAATTTGAAAACATTTTAAATAAATGAAACTCACCTGCAGTACTATAGATAGACTGATCAGTATAAGCATGAGCTTGTAAAACTGATGCTGCTCGCCCACCTGGAGGATGTACTTTAGCTGAGAAGCATTGGCAGTCAGCAGGGCTATATCCAGCATGCCCTGGGCAATTGTCTTCTTGGTGGCATATCTATTCGCATCCATTGCTTTCATCTGAAATATATATTTTATTTATATCTATTTAAATCTGAAGAAGTAGGAACTATACATTATTGAGGAAAGAAGCCATGGTGTCAGTGCAAAAGACAGATTCGAAGTAAATGAAGTTGGAAAAGTTGGAAGTTTGATACCAAAGTTCTGCGTTATCTGAGCGATTTTTATGTCAGTTCTCCGACTGATAAGAAAACAGAACTTCAGCACTTTAATTAATGAAACACAAAGCGGACATTGGGAGCAAGGATGGTTACTTGTGGGGTTCAAAGAACTATAAAATAAAATTTTTTAAATGTATCTAAAATCATTTCCTACCTCCCAAGCTTGCTTTACGGCTTTCTGGAAGAAAACAAAAGTGATGACTATACTACAAATATTAACAAGGATAATTACTATTAAAAAATTAACGCTTACACTCATCTAATTGTCAGCGAAATTAGAAAATCAATATGAGAACAAACAACCGGTGGGAATTAAAATGCCTATTCGCACAGCTCATTGGTGTTTAAGGTGCATAAGGCAAACGGGTCGACATACATATATCACTTTTAAACTGCACGAACATTCCAAACAAAGACAACAACAATGACAATTACAGGAACTGGCAATTACGTATGGGGATGGGAATGGAGATGTGGTATAGAAATGGGGATATGTCGGAGGCATGGCTCATTCGCACGAATAAATAAATAATTCATGACCAGATATACGACGAAGATCAAGGTCAGTGCGAGAGTGGGACTTTGCTGAATATGACAAACTTAAAGATGGAATTATTTCGGACTCACCTCGGTTTCATTAACCCGATCCCCACCACCTGCCGCCACCTGAGCCATTATGAATGAATTTCTGCTATATATTATTTCACGATTTAAGTTTGGTTGTCACACACGGCTGGTTTTTGAAAACAATTCGCTAACTGAATCAAAAGCACTCAAAAGTGTTCGATTCGAGTGGTTTTTGTTTTCATTGTCTCCTCAAATTGGCAACAAAACAATTGTTGATACTCCTCCTGACGGCGACGTTGTCGTGGAGACGGTGTTGTGGACACAACCAAACGATTAAACAACTGGCAGCGGACTGAAATGTTTCCCAGCTAAAGAGAACAACGCCTGCACGCTAGTCGGGTTTGGGGCTCTCTCGGCCAGAAAGCCGAGAAGAGCGTTTTCGAGGCAGTCATGACTAATGACAGGAGCTTTGTTTTAGCTTAAACTTAAATATATTGATTTATTTTGGGTTAGCTGTTATCGGGTGATCTGTGGAATAGTTAGTTTCAATTTTGTTGGGGTTCATGTCCTTTTAGATTTTGAATATGAGCTTAAACGAGAAAGAAAACTAACTTTGGGAAGGCGAAATTTGTATACCCCTGCAGTTCGAGTATTATTATTATTATTATGAAAGAAGAAAGAAAGAAATAAAAAACGAAAATAAGAGAAACAAAAAACAAACTCACATAACAGTGTCATAATTGCATTAGGTAAGATGAATAAGATTGGGTTTAAAACAATATTCCACTGATCACATTCAATTGTTTTACTTGATACGTTGAAAAACCATAGTTTCTGTGCTTTAATAAATTAAATAAATAATTAAAAAACTTCATACTCAAGTAGGCTTTTATCATCTATGTATTGTTAGCATTCTCTATTATAAACTTTAATTTCAATGTATTTAACACTTCGGTTTATACACTTACAATCGCTTAGAAATTCCTAAAATTTCGTTGCTCGATTTTTGTTTTCAAAAAACATGGAATTTCCCATACCAGGAGCGCAACATTGGGACGTTTCCAAACAATCAGAAGAGGATAGTCAGATAGTACAAGAATTCATTCCAGAAGCTGTGCCCCTGTACATTTTAGATGTGGACGAGGTCTATGATAGCGAAACATCCCATTTGGATTGCTGGAAGTACAGGCATCACTATCGTGATCACTACTGCAAGGTACACTGTCCCAAATTCTTTCGTCTGCACAAGGAGAGTTGCAGAATCCAGCTGGATCGAGCCCTGGCACTGATGACACAGTCTTTAGCTGGGAATAAGGATCAGAAGCCAAAAGTATATCCTCTGATTCCCATGGTACCTACGAACCGTAAATCCAGCGACACTAGGATATTTGTAGACGGTGTTCCTACTTATGTAATGGATTTAATAGCCATTGGAGTATATGGTGCACTTAATATCATATGTACATACATATTCTAAGTACAAACCTAGTTTGAATTATTATCAATTCGCCGCTTCTGTTTAATTATTTTATTTCTTTTTGTAGGATCCTTGTAGTAGAAGAATATTTTCTGTTTTATTTCGAATAAGCATCCTGTTTGATTTATTAACTTTAGTACTTTATTTTCTAGGCTGTTGGGAAAGCAGTTTCAATAAATAGCATTTTAAATACTTTGCGCCCATATTTGATGCATAAAACATATACACACAGTTGTATCGGATTTCTGGGGGTACTTGATGTTAGCTGACAAGGGTTTGATATAGATTTTAATTAGCCTTTCCGCATTGGGCGTTTAAACTAGTAAACACACTAAAAAGTCTTTCTGTGCACGACCCGCTGACCCTCCTCTTCGTACTCCCGCTTGGAGACCCACATCTTCTTGAAGGTGTCCAGGGAGGCGAGAATAGAACCGCCCATCCAGGTGGAGTAGAGCCGTTCCTGAGGCGCAGCAATCTGTGAATGCCAAATATGAGTAACAAGATCTTTACCTAAGTAGGCTAGATATATCTCACCCTGATCTTGAGATCCTTGGCCGAGTGCTTCCTGAGCTCAGACAGCAGGCGATCGCCGAATCCCTTGAACAGAGTGGAACCGCCAGAGAGTACAATGTTCTGGTAGAGCATTTTCCTGAGATCCATATCCGACTTCTCGATGGAGTACATCAAAACGTCGTGTATGCCCTCGCACTCCTCGCCCAGCAGATCGGGCCTGAAGAGCACCTCAGGCGCCCGGAAGCGGGCTGGTCCCACCTCGAAGGTCTTGCCGTCGGGGAGCTTATAGGCGAACTTCTCCGTCTCCGCGGTCTCCTCCTTTTGCGGGTTGGTGGCCAGGTAGCACACCTTCTCCTTGATGGAGCGCACAATCTCAAATTCGGCAGTTGACCGGAAGTTGAAGCCCTCCCGGCGGATGAGTGTCTTCAGGTATCGCGTCACATCGCGCCCGGCAATGTCCACGCGCATAATACTGTGAGGCATGGCGAAACCCTCATAGATGGGAACCGCATGCGTCACACCGTCGCCGGAGTCGAGGACCACTCCAGTGACACGACCGGTGGCATAGCTTCAGGGTTACATGTGGTTAAGAGGAGCTTTATACCAAAAGTTCCTGGAAATACTTACAGACTGAGCACTGCCTGCATGGAGACAAAGAGCGCAGGTGCGTTGATGGTTTCGAAGAAGAACTCGGCTGCCTTCTCGCGATTGCGTCGCGGATTAAGCGGGGCTTCGGTCAGCAGAACGGGATGGTCTTCCGTGAAGGTGGACAGTTGTTCCTGAATAAACAGATTTACAGTGCTAGGAGTGGGTACTATTGCTATACAAAAGACTCTATTACTTTGCTGTAAATGTAGCTCCATATCCGCTCCATGTCATTCCAGTCGGTGACAATGCCGTGCTCCATGGGATACCGGATGCTGAGCAGACCACGGTGTTCCTCCGCCTTTGGACCAACGAATATGTCACCCTCCAGGGCGCCAGCCATCACCCTTACATGCTTGGGCCGGCCAATGCTGCAGGAAATCAGTCAGTCAGTCAATCAATCAATCAATCAGAGGGTTTCCGGTACTTACTAATTGGGAAACCTGCATTTTGGAATGTGCTCGCCAGCAAAGCCGGCTTTGATCACACCGGAGCCCTGCAAACAGACACAAGGTGACAGAATTTTAGTAAATTTACGAAAATTCATTGTGTAAAAGCGAGAAAATCCAAATTATAAGCATGGAAGTCTTTAGTGTACCGGAGGTGGACATGGTAATGGTGTCCAAGAACTCGCAGAATGAGCGGAATGAGATGCTGAAGTTCGTGCCCCAAATTGGACTCAACAACATCAACTACGGGGATATGTACAGGCTGGACTCGTTCTACTTGGACTGCCAGAACTACAGGGATCATTACCGCGACCCCTACAACAAGCTGCTCCGCCCCAAGAGGTTCAGCACCCAAAGCGTCAGGTGCGGCATCAAGCTGGACCCACAACTGGAGCTGCTGAAGAAGCGAACGCCCTCGCACGTGGACCCCATCCCGGTGGTGTATCCGGTGGAGTACAGCCGCAGGATGGACTTCGACAGGGGCTTCCAGATGTCGGGGCGTCATGCCAGGGCCAGTGCCTTCGGATTCCCAGCGCCATGTGTCCGTGTCTTAGGGCGTTAACAGAATATACTATACAATCTCTCGATCTAAATTGTCAGTTTGGAAAATAAACCAAGTTTGGCGTCTGGCAAAGTTGTTGTTTTTCCTCTATTAGTCATGTTGGCCCGAAGACGGCTTGAAAGCTTGCTGACAAAGGAACGGGCAGTAGGTGATGTCACTGTCCTGTGGAAAAACGCCTGCACCAAGCCTGCCCCTGCCGGTATTCCGTATTTAGGGGCCCCACCTTGGACTTACGTTATCTATGACGACGGGCTGGTTGACGACGACATCATAAGGCTCCATTTTGTGCGTTTATAAAAATTTGCAAATTTTCTATTTAATAGTTCGTCAGTGTGACCGTAGGTGTGCCGTTACAAAAATACCTCTGAAAATACTAAACTGTAAAAAATCGATAACTAGAATTATACAAAAACTATCGAATATGCCCGACCACATATTATCGATTAGGACTCATTGTTTTGACGAATCTACTGGATGCAATGGCAGAAGCAAACTTGGATAAAAAACCGGAGGTGAAGCCTCCTCCGGGTCTAAAAGCAATCATCGACCACCTGTCGCAGGTGTACCCCGAGCAGCGGAACCCCCTGCAGGTGACCACGCTGCTCAAGTACTGGCTGGGCGGCCAGGACCCGCTGGACTACATCAGCATGTACAACTACCCCGGAGATGCGGAGAGGAACATCCCACCGCACTGGCACTACATCAGCTTCGGGCTGAGTGACCTGCACGGCGATGAGCGCGTCCATCTGCGCGAGGAGGAGAGCACCCGCTCCGGCATGGGATTCGAGCTCACCTTTCGCCTGGCCAAGACTGAGGCCGAGCTGAGACAGCAGATCGAGAACCCGGAGAAGCCTCAGCGTCCGCCCACCTGGCCTGCCAACCTGCTGCAGGCCATCGGGCGTTATTGCTTCCAGACCGGCAACGGCCTGTGCTTCGGGGACAACATTCCGTGGCGCAAGAGCCTGGACGGCAGGGAAAACTCCAAGTTGCAGAGCCTGCTGGTGGCCCAGGACCCGCAGCTGGGCTGCATCGAGACGCCCTTCGGTACCGTAGACTTCTGCCAGATTGTGGGCGTCTTCGAGAACGAGCTGGAGCAGGCCTCTCGCTGGAATGGTCGCGGCGTCCTCAACTTCCTGCGCCAGGACGTGCAGACGGGCGGTGACTGGCTGGTCACCAATATGGATCGGACGATGAGCGTGTTCGAGCTGTTCCCCGAGACGCTGCTCAACCTGCAGGACGACCTGGAGAAGCAGGGTTCCGATCTGGCTGGTGTCAATGCGGAATTCACCTTCCGCGAGCTGAAGCCCACCAAGGCGGTGAAGCAGGAGGTGGACTTTCACTCCCTCAGCGAGAAATGCGCCAATGAGGAAAACAACCGCCCGCTGACGGAGACACAGCTGAAGCGCGAGGAACCCAGCTTCCCAGTCTCCATGTCGATGAGCAGCAACTCTCTACACAAATCCTGTCCGCTGGATTATCAGCCGCAGGCCCCCAACTGCATCTCCCTGGACGGCATCGAGATAACGCTGGCACCCAATGTGGCGAAGTACCTGCTGCTGGCCATAAAGGATCGTATTCGGCACGGACGGCACTTTACCTTCAAGGCCCAGCACCTGGCGCTCACACTGTTGGCCGAAACTGTTACCGGATCGGCGGTTAGTGTTAGTGAGCCTTATGGAGTCCTAGGCTATTGGATACAGGTCATGATCCCGGACGATTTGGTCCCCCGACTGATGGAGGACTTCCGCAGTGCGGGTCTGGACGAGAACTGCGAGCCCAAGCAGCGCTTGGAACTGGAGTGGCCCGATAGGAACCTAAAGCTAATTGTGGACCAACCAGAGCCCGTGCTGCCACCCGCTCTGCCCATGTCCCTGGACAGTGCACCTCCGCTCAAGATGTGAAGCCGTAGAAGAGCTCTTAGCTAGTATTATTATAAATTAATCGAACTGAATCTTCCACTAACAAGTAAGTTTTACATTTTGCACATTTCATCTAACACCATACACGTGGTCTGGGCTCCTGCTCCACCCACTTGAAATATATACACACTCAAAAGAACACACTCGACGGGCCTTTGATCCGCTGTTCAAGAGAGAGGAAGCGCCGGCGCCAGCTTCAGGAGCGAACAATGAGTCAGTTTGGGGGTCAGTGCTTGTTGAGCACTTTTGAAAAGCCTGCTCCTCTTTGGTGGCTGCGGCGGATATGTCCACTTGCCAGTCAGTCACCTATGCCACCAATTGAAGGCACTGCGTAGTGTCGGCCTGCTTCAGTTTCTAATTCTGGGAATTGATCAATTGGAAGTGTTTTCAATTTGAATGCGAAATCCCGCCCTTGATCATGTGATTTGTCTGCAGCTGGAGTGGGAGCAAGAGCTGGATCTGGAGAAGCATCATCACATACCGCCGGGCTGGGTATCTGCTCCCGTTAGCGCCTCGTTTGTTTTTGTGCCCATCTTCGCGGTTGCCTAGGTGAATTTTTGTTTACCGCAGAGAACGCCACCACCACCACCACCACCGCCTCTGTCGCTGCCGCTGCTCTGTTTCTCTGATTAGGGGCTTGAGGCACGGCAGCCAAGTGAGCGAACGAATTTTTTCGCAAACAGCTCGTGGAAAATAATTCAGTTTTCTTCATTCCGCTGCCGACGACGCAAGCGCTCGGTTGTGTGTGCTCTCGCTCGAAGCTCTCCCCCCGTCCGTTACCGACCGCCACCCTCGACACCTCGGTTCGCGCCGGAATCCCGGAGACTTTGAGTGGATCTTAGGGCCTGCGCCTGCGGGACTGGACTGGAGTTGCCGGCTTACAAGTACGTAGTGGAGCCTCCAGGACTTGCTACTGTTGCCGGTTGTTGCATAACGGCTAGACCATCGACCGGTGACCTTCGATTTTGGCAGTGACCCTCCCCGGTGGGACTGGGTGGCAGTGCGTCGTCATCGAGCGGGCACGTGCACGACGCCGTTGATAGTGCGAACTTCTGCGATAGCCGCCGCCAAGACAGAAGGCGGGCATGTTTCCCTCGCAACTCGTGTTACATTGAAATTTCGCCAATGCGGTGCGGTTTTTCTTTTGACGGGAAAAAGAAACGTTTGCAGAACCGAGCACACCGTAGACCGTAGACGTAGAGCCAAACCATAGCCGTACCCGTACGAGACACAGGGCAGGGGCACCCGGCAAGGGCATGCATATGTATATATGTATCTGAGAAATGCGACGAATTTCAGTTATCGCTTGTAATGCAATCTGCATTCTGCGCAGCTCAAAAATGCATTACAATGTTGCTGACTAGATACTCAACGGGGAAATTCGAATCCAGAGACAATTGGCTGTGTCTGATACGAGAGAAATTCAAGTCATATTAATTTGAGCCTCTGAGCTAATGAAACCTTAGATAATTATGATTTTGCTGTCCACCAAGCCCTGCAGTCCAAGAGGTTTTATGATGGAAGCTAAAGAAGAGCTAATATATTCAAGAAATCAAAAGGTTGAGTTCTAAAGGCTAAAATGTTGAAGATATCAAGAAGTTAAATTTTATAAATCTGTTAATTATCGTTATGCAAAAGGACGTAAGGATTTAAAGTTAAAGAAAAGTGAAAATCGAGTTTATTTAAACAAACTAAAGAGTACATTTCAATACGAGAGATTATTCGAAGGACAAATTTAAAAAAACAATTCATATGTGTTTTAAAACATTTTAAGGAACAATATTGAAAATATTAAAAAATACTGCTCATTCCAGAATTTTTAAAAAATTATTTCTAAACTGGATGAATTTTCCTTAGATTTTTAAGTCAAACAGTTTGACTGCAGGTTTATCTTCTAAAAAACAATAATAATAATTTTAGAAAGTAGCCACAATTTAAGCCCTTTAAAAATTTAAGTATATAGATCCTGATATCGGTTTAAAAACAAACTCCCCCACTGTCACAAAATTTATACATTTTGGGAAGCAATATTGAAAATATTTAAACACAGAGCTCCCTTTTGACTTAATGAATTATTTTCAAACTAGTTTTATTTTTCTTAAAATTTAAAGTCAAAAATTTTGACTGTAGTTAAATCTTCTACAGAAAATTTGTTGTAATAGATGACTGAGTATAAACTAGCAACAATTTAAGCCCTCACAACATATTAAATTGTGATAAGGATCCTTAAAAAATTTTAGTTAAAAAAAACCTTATCTTGCTTAGAAACAAACTACCTCACCAAGTCTCTTTCAGTTAGAATCCCCACCCTTCACGAAGGGATTGCATTGCACTACGTGCCTTTGTGTTCCATATAGTTGGATTTCTGGCTTGGATTGCGGGGCAATGTGTAAACTGCATACTCCCCTTAGTCGGGGGCGCAAACAGTGATAAACGTGCCCAAATATTTAGCTAGCCAATTCCGTCAGTCTGCGATAATTTCCCGGATTCCGGGATGGGGAAATGCAAATGATACTAGCTCCTATCATTTCGGCAGGCAGCGGCGGCGGCGAGTCAACAGCAGTCCACATTTGGGTGCAATGTGGCTGACCGATTACTGATCCCAGTCCCACTTTCTAGGTACACATATTTGCAGCCAGAACTCTTGGCCAATCATGGCCGAAAACGAGCCGCTGAACGAGACCCAGAAGCAGGTGAACGGACGAATTCTGCCCGCCGCCAATGGACATGCCACGTCGGCCACCAATGGCCAGGTGCATGCCAATGGCAAGGGTGCGCCTGCTCCGATGCAGAATGGCAACGGGACACACATCGAGGCGCCCTGTTGTCGGGACATACACGGCAAGGAGCCGCCGGACGGAGGAGCTCGCGCTTGGCTGGTGATGGTCAGCGCCTTCCTCTGCAACGGCATCATCTTCGGCTTCATCAACACATACGGCGTACTCCATTCGCTGCTCAAGGACCGGCTCACAGCCATCGGGGATACGGAGGCCTCCAGCAAGGCGGGTGAGTGACATCTTCCCAAGAAAGCCAGAGCTCTCTGAATCAGCATCAGCAATTGGTCCCAATAATCCCTTTAGCCCGCGGCAAATTAATTCTATATTTATGGCTGGCGTTGATTGTAATTATGCAGGGAGGAGACCAAATGAGATTACATGGGAACTGGGCAGTTGTTGTTTTGCAGGCGACTATCTGTTTCAGCGGGTGCTGGGTGCCTGCCTGCCAAGTACTCTCCACAGAATGAATTATACGTAGTGGCCTGGGGGGCCGCTGACTTTGATTTGAATCAAGTCGAAATGTTGTCTATAAAAATAAATCAAATTCTGTTTAATAAGAGTCATAATTATTGATAATATTTCTGGAGGAATTATTATAGCAAAAAGCAAAAATTGCTTTTAAAAAAAAACTATTCCAAGAATTTAACAACATTTACTTATATTATTTTTTGCAATTAAATTGATATATATGCGTACGTTGAGTTGCTGTTCTATAAGCGAATATTTTTATTAATTTTTCCTAATCTAAATTGCTTTTAAAATCAGAGCATTATACTGTGAGCTTTATGCCACATAATACTCGAATTTTACTTTGGAACTGAGAGCAAAAAGGCTATATAATATGTCCACAATGTATAACAATATCAATCTTCTAAGGGTTTCTACCATCGCCACTTAAAACCCACCTAAAACATTTGATCTGTGATAATGTTTCCATTTTCAATTGAATTCGTTTAAGGCTCCTATAACAAATATTGATTGTTGAAAGCGAAATGCCTATGGCCACTGTTCCTTATAGTAAACTTGTATCGGAAGTTATTATTTATTCAAATTTATCATTTCGAATCTCCAACGGACATTCGACTGGCAGTCAAGGCGCATTGCTGTTGCTCTCTCTCCACCGGCTGGCTGTTCTGGGTTCAATAAAACATTGTAGGTAGTACGTAGTAGCTGTGACGATATAGGAATCCAAACGTACCGACGTCAAGTGAATTAAATTGCTAAAAGTTGATTGGATCACAAAGCATTATTCAACACCCAAGCGCGAGGGCGAAGAGCACGATGGACGGCGATGTCAAGACTCTTCGGAGTTGCGACGAGTTGCTACGATGTGCTCCTGGAAGTACAGAGAGAAGCCAAAAGAGAATACATTTTTTGGAAGCTCAAAGCACTCCCAACCAGAATTAACAGGCATTATGTGCAGGGTTCACAGCATTTTGCCGACGTTTGTCAAGGTTTGAGCGCTGGCCTGCATTACGCATACGCAACGTGGGCCCGTCTTCACATTGAGGACACGGCCGGCAGCGGCGGCGACGCTTCCACGAAAGAATGAAAAACTGACCGGCCAGAAGACAAAAGCCGCCAGCAAAAGTGCACCCGCCACTGACCCAGTTACTTGGTCGGCTGGCGCTGACGGGGAAGCCCCGCAAGTGTCGCCGCCTGACAGCGATCCTCCTCCGAGCCAAACCTACAGCCAGGGCTAGAGGTAGAGCTAGAGCTTCAGCCGGAGCTCAGCTAGTTCCGCAATATGATTAAAACCTGACGTAATCCGAACCTGAGCTCTGCGGAGAGGTGTTGGGTGTGTGTGTTTGGCGCTTGTGCCATATTTCCCCCGACTTTTATCGCCGGTGTCGATTCATCAATTAATTGTCAGCCTCTCCGTCAATTACACACGTCCATAAGCACATTACAGCGACTTAGTGGAGCTTAGTGGATGGATGGGTGGCCCATCGGTTCATCCGTGCGGATCGTCGGAGTTCAAGATCAATCAGCGTAGGCCTTTCCCGCCAACTCTCTCATGCAATCCCGTCCAGAATTGCGTCAGATATTGCCACGACAAATGGGGATACAATTGCCAGCTATGAGTATGCGGCATCCTATAAATATTGCGATCTATTTCGGCTGCTCCTCAGACGAACGCCAGACGCCACAGCGGTGCCATGTAAAGCCCCTACCGTTTGCGGTTTCTTTTTTAGATTTTTGGCACTGCCTCGCATTGTGTGTGTGGCGTCGCCTGTGGGTATTATCTAATAGTTCTCTACGCAGCTCTCGTTGGGATTGAGAGAGAGAAAGAGAGACCGATGTGTGGCATTGACATTGACTGCTGGCCGAGATTGCGGGAGGCGGCTTCTGCGCATGTGGGGGAGAGTTACGTGCCCGCTCGTGGCCCCATTTAGGCGCAGTTAGCCATGGTCCAAAGATATCCATGCGCCGCTCGAAGTGGGTCAGTTTCTATTTAAGATAATGTGCTGCATTTTCCCCTTAGTACGTGGACTTTGTGGGTTATATATATTTTTATAACTATAATATGCGGAAATCGCATTTCTCAGGTTTTTGCTGGTGTTTTATTTCTTAGATTTTAGATTTTGTATTTTTCACAGATATATATTTTCAATTTTCTGATGGCTTAAAGGGTGTATCTCTTTCTTTTAATATGGGGAACTGTAACATTTTTTCTGATTTTAAGATTTAGTTCCACTTGCAATTATTTTAAGTAGTTGTAGGTCTGTGTCTCTGCGCAGTTTACATTCTGGAAATATGAGAAAAAGTTGTGCAGAGAAACTGAAATTGGAAAACCTTTCCAAAATGAATTTCTTAGATTCAAGACTATACAAACTTCGTCTTCCCAAAGTTAGCTTCCTTTTATATTGTATTCCTTAAGTAGCACCAGGAACTACAACCTCTACTCTTATATTTATTCAAGATTTTCCCAGAGAGTATTTAATATTCCCCAATAGAATCTCGCTAATCTCCAAGGGAAATCCACGGCATGTGAAAGTGAAATCGCCAAAGACCTGTACGTCAGTATACAAAAAATATCAATTGCTGGGGGGTTAAAGGTCAAGGGAGGTTAGTAGCTCCCCGTCTATATATAAGCAAACATTATGAATGGCACACGCAACGCTCTTAATATTCAACTCGGGCACTTTAGAACGCAGATTGTAATAATAAATTCGAAATGACACGCGAGCTGAATCGAATTCCTTATCTCTAGTTCCGGCGTCCGGCGTAAAAATATTATTATTTTTGATAGTCACTGCGATTAAGGCCTCAAATCCGCATTGTTTTGGGTTGTAAAAATCAGTATCAATACGTTTGCTGAAGTGTTACAAGTGGCTACTATATAGATAATCTAATAAGACCCCCGCTTTTGGTGATAGCTTTCTGTGCCTATGGACTTTCATCTGCTACCTTTTTTGCGGTCCCAGACAATGGACCAAAGTGGCCCGAGAAGCTGCAGCTGCACAGCTGGAGGAGGAGACCTTATCGTGGCATTAGATCGGCTTGGCAGGCGGGAACAAAGAATTAACCTGATTCTGTCAATCGAGCTTCAAATCAAAGTGCCAAAGTGGAGCAAGCGAAAGTGTTTACGCAACGCAAACAATTGGATTTCCATTCCTCATTCCCCCAGTCGAGTTCAATGGAAAATCTTTAAACTTTGGTCCTAGATCCCCCTGCTATTCCCCTGTCTGCAGATCAGGTTTCCCGGGGCATCCACGTGGAAGTCGCCAGGAAACACCTGGGCTCGTGGCTCATATCCAGACTTGGTTTTGATCGCTTCGCTTCACAATCAACCGCAACTGCGTGTGATTCGATTTGTCAAAGGAAATTGGTCTTTGCAGTTGGCCAGCTTAGCTTAGATGTCTATATAGGGTTTTTATGGGAGATATATGTATTATAATTATGATTCCCCCTCTCCTTGCAGCTCTCATTGGCTCCCTAGCCATTGGCACCACATTCCTCTTTTCCACAGTGGCCGGCTGCCTCACCGACAAGATCGGTCTGCGGCTGACCACATTCGCCGGCGGTGTCCTCTCAGCTGGAGGTCTGCTGCTCTCCTCGTTCTTTACGGAAAACATTAGCGCTTTGTACTTCACCTATGGCATCATGTTTGGGATGGGCGCAGCCCTCGCCTACACGCCCACCCTGGCCATCCTAGGCCATTACTTCAAGCGCTATCTGGGCAAGGTAAGTGGCTTTGTCACAGCCGGCTCCAGCGTGTTTACTGTGATATTGCCGCCCTGCCTGGACAAGCTCCTGGAGGGCTATGGCCTGGAGGCCACTCTAAGGGTGAGTGGAATAAAAGTAGCTTCCTAAATTTTTTAATATTTATGGTCTTTGTTTTCTTTGCCAGATGATGAGTCTGGTATCTGGCTTCATCATCATTTGCTCCTTCGTCTACAAGCCGCTGCATCCGCCGCCGGAGCCGCCCAAGAAGAAGCCCGGCAGGTCACGCATCAATCTCTTCCTGCGCTCCATTGTCAACGTGGAGATTTGGAAGCGAAAGCGTTTTGTGATCTGGGCTCTTTGTGTGCCCCTTGCCCTGTTTGGTTACTTTGTGCCCTATGTACACATGATGCAGTTCGTGAAGAAGAATTTCCCGGGAGAGGATGTCAACCTGCCAGTGATGTGCATAGGCATCACCTCAGGCATTGGTCGACTCATCTTCGGCGTCATTGCCGATATGCCTGGTGTGAATCGCATGTACCTGCAGCAGCTTTCCCTGGTGTCCATCGGTCTGGTCACCCTGCTATTGCCGCTGACCAACTCGTATGTGGTCTTGGTCTCCTTCACCCTAGTGATGGGTCTCTTTGATGGCTGCTTTATCTCGCTGCTGGGTCCTATTGCCTATGAGATATGTGGTCCGTCGGGTGCCACGCAGGCCATAGGGTTCCTGCTGGGTCTTAGCTCCATTCCACTGACCGTGGGTCCTCCAGTGGCGGGCATGATTCTGGACAGAACTAACTCGTATACCGTGCCTTTTATACTGGCGGGTCTGCCGCCCTTGCTGGGTTCCTCTCTCCTCTTCTTGGTCAAGTGCGTCAAAGAGGAGGAGAATGGCGTGAGTGCTCCGAGAGCGGTGGTGCTGGCCAATGGAGACATTGAGATAGCCAGGAATGGGAACTACCAGGCAGGGGGTGAGTGCTCTAGGTTAATTATTTTAGTTTTATGGCTATAGTTTTTTATTTCTTGTACAGGCAACAAATCGAGCGCACCGCTGATGGGCTCCAACAGCAATGGAATCAACGGAGCAGCCACCATCCATGGATCCAACGGACATGTGGACAACAACGGAACTGGTTCGTACCCCGACTCACCTTGGCCTAGCCTTACTCGCATCTCAGACTCCGCCGCCTGCGACCATCCTTCAAGTAGTAGTACCTCGCTTCACACTAACCCGGGCGCCATGCTGCCCAGCTGCTCGCACACCGCCCTGCTGGGTCGCGGCTCCGGGCCCAGCATGTCGTCCGTGCCCCTGACTGACGACCCCAAGCGGCGTCGCTATAACTATTCCATCTACTAACCCACTGCCTAGTTGCTAGTACCTCTGCTTTGCTTGGCTTTTCTTACTGTAAGCCCTTCTTGGGTGTGGAACGAGTTTGTATTCGAATGTAGCATGACCAAGACTCACTTCCGCTCTAACCCTGCACCTGCACCCGCACCCCCATCCCATTCCTGTTAATTGCTTTGTAGATCGTAAGCTTCATCATCGATCGGAACCTGCTGTAAATAAATGCCAGCCTATGTCGCATATCTATACCTCGCTGTCTGTTTCGGAGTTCGAAGTTCGATCGAGCAGAAGCCACCTTCAACTGTATTATCCTGTGCATCTTTTTTAGGGAAACTCGCCGTGACCGACGACGGATCGGCGTCCTAGAGAGTGACCCGCACTAACTCAAAATTCCACACAAAAACTTTTCGCAAAAGCAATTCAGAAAAAGTTCTGCCATTTTCAGCTGTAATCTCACCGTTGTCGGAGTCCGCAGCTTAGCCAGCGCAAAATCGAGGTGTTCATTCAATATGTTAAAACTTGAAAGTAAACCATATCTACCGCACATGTTGCCAAGCATATATGTCCATTCACCGGATCGCTGGAGATGCCCAAGCCTCTCCTAATCTTCACACGTGCATAATACTACCTAGACTAAGGCGAATATTCTCGCAAAACCAAATAAACGTAATATTTTAATTTTTAATAAATAATACACTAGATAAGAATGTGATTTTATCTTTTATTTAAATGGGAACATTTTAACGAGATTTCTGGAACTAAGCTGGAAATCTGTATTCTATTGCCAAGCCAATGAAACGTTATTTATTTTACATGAAATTCATTTTATTCAATCTCAGGAAATAATAGATTATCTCTGATAGGAATTTTCTGATCGATAGGGGTTATTACTCTGTTAATTAATAGAACAATTGCTTTCTGGCCACCCTGCTAGTGCCACTCTTCATCCAGAGCTGCGACCTACTGGAATATTTGATGGGTTATACAACGCAATAATTAGCACTGATTCCCCCAGATCGTGTCCCCATCGATGACGTATTGGATCGACAGCGTTGCTCAATTCACATTCCCAAAGTGTTTGGCGTGTCACCGCTGGCCATTAGTCAAAATTATAGCGATTTGTATGCGCGACCCCCCCTGTTGCTACCAATAAAAAACGGCGCACTACGACGACGGGACTCACCTAGCCCCCGTAGCTCTTTCTTTTTCTTTCGCTGGGGGAGTCGGCCGCCACCGGGTCGATCATTGAGCACTACGCGTGACAATAGATCGATCGCGGCCCAAAGCAGGCATCACGTCCGGCTTATAAAAAGACGATTGCCTAGAAATTGGGCAATCACTCTGTTGGCGCACTTCAAATCGCTCGGTTGCTCGGTCGAAATCGGAATACGAAACGGGATCAAGGATTATAAGCATGTTGACCTGGACTTTATGGTGTGGCTTAGTGTTCCTGCTGTGGTTCTACTTCCTGTGGAGTCGTCGCAGGTTTTACCTGTTTACTCTCAAGGTCCCAGGGCCACTTGGATATCCCCTACTGGGCATGGCCCACTGGCTAAGCCGTCGTGAAGGTGCTCAGAGTTTATATTTTGGATACCACAAGGATATTAATGTTGGTGTCTCCAAGCAGATATTCTCAATTCGTTTGCCGTCTTTCTGGAGAAGCATGGCCCAGTTATATTCTCCTGGCTTGGGCCCATTCCCTTTATGATTGTCAGCGATCCACAGGTGATTCAGGATATATTCACCTCGCCGCACTGCATCAACAAGGGCATAATCTACAAGGCAGTGGACGATGGAGCTGGAACGGGACTATTTAGTTTGAACGGTGGGTGGGTTTGGTATGGATTTTGTGAGAGTTACTCATCCACGATCTCCTCTAGATCCCCACTGGAGCATCCATCGCAAGCTACTGAATCCTGCCTTTGGCCACAAGGTTCTGCTCAGTTTTTTGCCCATTTTTAACCGAGAGACGGCTCTTTTAATGGATCAACTAAAGCCTCTGGAGGATGATGGGGAGAAGGATCTTATACCTCTCCTGCAGTGCTTCACCTTGAGTGTAGCCACGCGTGAGTAAAAAGAGTTCTCATTAAAGAATCTGCTTTTTATAATAATACTTTTCTCCCTTTCATAAAGAAACCACAATGGGCAGCGATGCAAAGAGCGAGGAGAACTTCCGGAGCAACTCCCTCCTGGAAAGGTATCAATGGTGAGTGTTGAATGGGATTCGGACTGCTGCATTATGCATTAATAGTGCTCTGAACACCATGGCAGACATGTGCTTTTCCCCATGGCTTAATAGCCGATTTATACGTCAGTTGGTGGGCAAGGAATCGGAATACTACCAAGCCAAGACCGAGATCCGTCAGTTTATCAAAAAGGTAAAAGTCCCAAAGGATATCTTATCGAACCTATTGTGACTTTCTCTTGAATCCTTTCAGCTCATTCAGAAAAAGATGGTTGCTGATGCACAGGAATCGTCGTTGCCTCCCATTCAGGCCCATGACAAGAACATCTTCCTCAACTTGGCTACGGATCTACTGAGACGTGGAGTGTTTAACTGGAAAAATGTAGAGGATGAGTCCAATATAATTGTGTTTGGAGCATTTGAGACCACGGCAAACACTGTTTACTATACACTTATGCTGCTGGCCATGTTTCCGGAGTATCAGGAGAAGGCCTTTGAGGAGATACGTAGCCTGTTTCCAGATACCGGAGACTTTGAGGTAACCTATAACGATGTCCAGCAGATGGTGTATCTGGATCTGATTCTCAATGAGTCAATGAGGGTGGTGCCGCCAGTTCCCGTTGTGTCCCGACAAACCTCCCAGGAACTAAAGCTGTCTAATGGAATAGTTATACCTCAGGGTGTTCAAATAGCCATTGACATGTTTCACATGCACCGAAGCAAGAAAATCTGGGGACCCGAGGCAGAGACCTTTAATCCAGATCATTTCCTGCCCCATAATATCCAGGATAAGCACCCGTATGCATTTATACCCTTTACCAAGGGTATCAGGAATTGCATAGGTATATTTATATATTCTTCAGGAACTGGAATTGCTTTTAATTAATATTTTGTTTTATCATTTCAGGTTGGAGATACGCTTTAATTTCTGCCAAGGTGACACTGGCCAAATTGTTAAGAAATTACAGGTTTAGGACAAGCTTTCCCTTTGAGGATCTTTACTTCGTGGAGGATATAACACTGAAGCTGAAAGTTGTGCCACTGATAGAGCTACAAAAACGAATTTGAAGGGCTTTGTTACTGTTATTATTTTGAATATAAATTTAAATAAAACTAGATAAGTAAAAATATAAACAAAATTAGATGTTGATTGTAATTTAATATTTTAAGTGAATAGCAAGCAATAAAACTAGATAAGTAAAAATATAAACAAAATTAGATGTTGATTGTAATTTAATATTTTATCATTTTAAATTCTTTACATTATATTCTTTGTAATATTTTTTGTAGCATTAATTACCAGATTTTTAATATTTTTTTTTTTTACGTTAATAAGTAGCTGTATATAGTAACCCCTTTTTTAATAATTTTAACACATTTTAGCTTGATAATTTAAGGACCTTTTTAGCATATACGATCTTAAAATTTTTTGATTACGTTAATTTCCGTTATATTACGTTGTTAGATTACGTTACTGTGAGCTTAAGTGTGACCATGATTAACTAAAGGTGGAAAAATCGATATCCTCGATATATGAAAACATCGATATTTTGCCCGCTCTATTAACACAACGCTGATATTTTCGACAAGTTTTTTTAATTTTATGTTATTGTATATTGTTTCCGTATTCTGTCTATGAGCGTAACATAAACAGAGAGCCAGAAAGGGAGAGAGACCGCTGACCATGTCGCTCACGGATATTTTGGAACTGAACAAGGCGGAGCTATTCGAGAAGATCCGCCATGGCCTGCCGCTGGTGCAGAAAACCCAGAATTTGCTGGACTGCAAGGACGACCTGCTCTTCGCCTGGGACGCCAAGGACAGCTGCCTGCTGGTGCGCAACTGGCGCGCCTCGCTAACAGATACGGAGGGCAAGCACACCGCCGCTGGCGTCCAGTGCCAGACGTTGATACCGGCAAACGCCGTGGGCCTCGAGGTGGACCGCGTGTTGGCCTCCAACGAGGGATCTTTGGTGGCACTTGGAGGTACTCGCGGCGTGACTATCCTGGAGCTACCACGCCGCTGGGGCCCCGACGGTTACTTCAAGGACGGCAAGGCAAAGATCACCTGCCGCACATTCAGCTTGGACACGCAGCTATTCCAGAACAACCCACCGCTGGAGGTGCGCCAAATACGCTGGCATCCGCACTCCGTCACCGACTCCACGCTGCTGGTGCTGCTCAACAACAACACCATCCGCGTCTACAACCACGCCAAGTTGCGCCATGTCTGGCAAGTGGGTCCCTCGGTGATGCGCGGCACGTCTAATACTTCTCTCTCCGACTTTGGGGAGGTGGCCGTCGACTTTGACATTGCTCCGGCAGCCAAGCCCCGTAACCCAGATCAGGATAACACCACCCTGGCCGACACTACAGCCAATCAGAGAAACCAAACCCTGCTGGCGGCCAAGTCCGTGCAGAAGCAGGCGAAGATTGAGTGGCCCGTGTTGGTGCTGCGTGAGAACGGCAACATATACATCCTGCTGACTGGCCTGGACTCGGCAAAGACGCGTCTGCAGGGCCCCATTACCATTACGCCACAGGCCCGCGATAATTACGGCCTGGAGTCATGCGCTCTCATGGTTATTCCCTCTCTGCCGCCCACCGTGGTGATGGCCGAGTCTAATGGAAAGCTGCATCATGCCTTGCTCATGGAGGCAGAGGCCGCCGAGCATTCCTTTAACGAGGTGGATGACTTTGTACTCATCGAGCCCGCCGAATATGTCATACACGTTTTGGAGACGGTGGAACTGGAGCTGGGTCTCAAGGCAACTTCGACAACTGGAGCGGCAGCTGGAGCTGGATCCGCCTACAACTGCCCCATCCACTTGAAGCGGGATCTGATCAACGAGCTGCGCTACTTTGCCTACCACAACGCTGGCCTGCATGTGGTTTCTGTAAGCTTTATCTCAGAGCTGCAGCGCTACCTGGACAGCGAAATCGAGCACGATAGACTAGAGCTGACGGCCTCTTCTCGGGCCGAGTACGTATTGTGCACCAAGTTCGACTCCAGCGAGGGGATCAATGCAGTCTTGGGCATCGCCCTTCTGCAGATGCCCGCTGGCGTGGTCCTCCTGCTGGGCAGCGGACAGGTGGTCAGCCTCAAGCTAGTGATCGATGCCCAGCTGCTGGTGACACCCAGTGAGTACAGGAAGACCGGCCTGGAGGTCGATGAACAGGAGAGTGGACCCTCGTTTGTGGACACGATCAAGTCGCTGCTGCAGCGCAGTGTCAACCAGCCGATACTGGCGGATAAGCTGGCCTCACCCTCCGCCCAGGAGAGCTACGAGCTGCTGAACCAGGCCATAGAGGTGCTGCGCGAACAGTACCTGAAACGCCACGACCTGGTGAGCGCCGCCTTCGCCCGCCACATCAATCAGATCCAGCTGAAGAAGGAGCAGCAGCTGCAGGAGATACAGGACCTGGAGCAGGAGCGCGAACTGATTAGCGAGCGGGCCCACAAGCTGGCTGAGCGCTTCGAGGAGATCAGCTACAACCAGGAGCTGCTTGTCCGCAAGTGCTACAACCTGATGAAGCAGGCTAATGCTGCGCTGCCTAACAATATAGTGGCCGAGCGTGAGTTTGCCAAGGAGGTGACGCGCCTCAACGAGGTCACAAAGGGTCTGGCCGCTAGTTTGGATACCGCCAAAAAGTCTCTCAACAAACAGCGCTATCACATCGCCAAGAGCCAGGAAGAGCTCAAAAAGAATACATACGAGCTGCCGGAGAAGCAGCACCGCACCATCAAGGAGATCCTGACCCAACTGAACAGCGAAATCGATCGTCAGGTCACCGATGTTAAGCGCATCAACAAGATCGTGGGCCTGTGAGGACACATCCTGGTGATTTCGCCACGTTTCCGTTGATAAAGTAAAGCTGAACCGAAGCGAAGGAACTGAAACCTATTAATAATAAACATTTTGTCGATTAAGTCCCCAAGCTGGCGTAGTTGTTTTCTTGTTATTCTTTATTTTTGTATTTTGTATTCGACGGCATGCTAATGGAATTGCGTCAGAGGTGTTGGCCAGACGATCCTCCAAAACATTTGATATTGTATTTCAAATCTTAATTGAGTGTGTTTTTGAAAAGAAGTGTGAAGACACTGAAAAATGGTTCGAGAGCTTGCACAAACAAATCAAACCAAAGATCATTAGCAAAATTCATAGATACGACTCCTGATTTAAGCAAACAGCCTAGAATTTAATAGAATACCCCCTGTATTTGAATGTAAGTCGCCCTTCGAGCATTTACCCTCTCTTTCTAGCTCTCTTTAAATCGAAACATTTGCAAGGCTAATTCTTACCCCATAGCTTTTGAGGTTTCAATTTTATTTACGTTTCAGTCGCCAGTCTGAAGCTGACTTTGACGGAAGCGAGATGACGTCGACCCTACTGGCCACCCTGTCCAGTCTATACACCGGACTGTTCAACTTTGTGAAGGCGAAAGTGCCCTTTGTGATCGAGGCAGCCATGGTCACCCTCTGCTTCGCCTCCATTGTGGGGCGCTACTGCATTCTGGTTTAGAAGGAGGAAATTTGGAAGACTTGGCGCTGTGTGATTCGGAGGAACTCTATATATGTATATTTATGTGGATGTGTGTTCTGTGACCTTATGTGGAATACAAACTAAATGCTTAAACCTAAACCTCGGGCTTCTCGATCAGGTGGATGTAGAAGGCGGGATTCTTCACCAGGCTCATCTCCTTGAAGTCGCCGTACAGCTGGTGCTGGGCCTTCTCCGAAAAGATCTCGCCGAGGATCTCACGGAAGCGCTTGAGCTCATGGGGATAGTAGGACAGACGGAACTCGCTGGTCAGCTTGTTGCCAGCAATCAGATAGTCCATGGACACCAGGGCTGGCTTGCCGCAATAGAAGAGCACGGATGTCTTGATGTCCGCCGTGTGACTCGTCTGTAATTAGTCGCAAGTCATTCGTAGAGGTTGGATTAGCTTGGATTAATTGAATCGAAGAAAGCATCGTAAGCGATAAGGTTGATAATGATGGGGAAATGGGTGAGCGTTGCAATTGCTCTGGGATCAAAAACAAGATCAGCAGCAGCAGTAGCTCAGCTTATCGCCACGATGACGCTACAATATTTGGTTGTTTTTGAATGGAATGTGTCATTTAATAGTTTTTAATTAATCTCGAGGTGATGTGGCACAATTCCGCTGACGAAATTCAGTATCTCTAAACATCATTTTAAATTCTATAAATTAAAAAATTAGTTACTCACGTTATAGTAGATGCTCTTGGCGGGCGTGGCTCCCGTCTCCAGGATATTGTCATAGTTGCGGTGATCAATCAGCAGGACGCCTCCTGGCTTCAGGCACTTCTCAAAGTTGCCAATGGCCTGCTTGTGCTCCCGCTGATCCCCGAAACCGTCCATCAAATGGGCAAAGGAGTTGCCCAGGCAGATAACGGCATCGAAACCGTCCTTGATATGCTCCTGGATGTCATCGTACAGGGTGAGCCAGTTGGCCTCCTCAATTACTATTCGAATTAAGAAAGTATTATTTAGTAAGAAAGGATTTTGTAGTTGCTCTTAATTAACTTACCCCAACTGTCGAAGGCAGCCTCCTTGCGGCGGTTCCAGCGCTCCTTGAGGGCATACTTCAACATCTTGTCAGAGGCATCCACGGAGACCACCTCAAAGCCTTCCTCCACCAGCATAAGAGAGTCCACACTGCAAGGAAATGATAAAAATATTATAAAATAAAGAAAACTCAAAAGGAAATCTTTGCTTTAAATATGTTCCTTACAAGGATATCTCCCCTTAACTCACCCCGTTCCACAGGCCACATCCAGGACTCGCTTGCAGCCCTTCTTCCGGAGCATATCAATCAGGAAATTCTTGTAGTTGTCCGTACGGGAGTTCTTGTCTCCAATGAAAATCTCCCACACCTTGGCGGCCTTGCCATCGGCATACTGATCCCGGACTCCTTCGGCGGAGATGCCATCGGAACGGGCAACGAACACACTATCAGCGGAGGTAGTCATGGTCTCTGGGTCTCTCGGTTTGTCAGCTCTGGTCGGCAGATCGCAGCGAAATAAAATCCATCTCCGTACGCACCCACCACGTTGACTCTCCGCCAGAGATGGGGTGTCCAGAAGCTAACAGCTGGTGCTACATACATAGGCCACACCGAGCAGTAGTCAGCAGTCCATAATCTTATCAATCCCGCCCGCTTTGACGTGCGCCCTGCGCCAGCGGTAGCGACGAGAGCTTCAACATCTGGTCCCGGCGGAACGTGTTTCGCCAGCGGGGCTTTCGCTTTTGGGTCTCTGCCCCTGAACCTGACCCTCCGGTTGAGATTAGCCAGCGGCGGCGGCGATCTCATCCCGTGGTCAAAAATAGAATGACAGAGCACTATATCTAAGCAAGTTGGAGGTACAGTGGAAGATCCACTAAGGAATACTTTCAAGAGAAGGATATTACTATAAGATCTTAATGTTATATTAATTTAAATGTTGACTGAAAGGTTTAGGATCAATTTAATTAAAAAAAAATATAAATTCTGCCTGTTTATGAATGTTAATGTTCTATAATGTAGATTAATATGAGGTTCCTAGTTTATAGTCTCCACTATACATCGTATGAGCTCAACAATGACTTGTATATTTTCCCAGAATTTCCCCACGTGCTGTTTTTAAGAAATAAATCTTTATAGAACAGCGAATATTGTTTGTAATTTATAAATAATATTGCCGTAGATTTTATTATTAACTTCTCCTACACATTTCCAAAAGAAAACGATAAATTTAATTGATATAAAAATGTTTTTTATTTTATTTTAAATAATATTAAATAATATTTATAAATATTGCACTGCTTTGAAAATCAAGGAATCTTGTCCTCCCAATGGTTGGTCTTCATATTGCACCTCGCGTTTCTATGGATTAGATCTTAGAGATTAAGTCACACTGGATGTTCTATAGGAGGTACTTATTGCTAAAAATGATTACGTTTCGCAAGAGAATTGATTCGCTGTCGGATTAATGGCGATAATTGTCTTGGGAAACATAAGCCGTTAAGAGATTATTATGTAATATATAGTATAGTATATATATGAGTATGTTGGCTTATGTGCTATGTACATCGTAACTATTCCGGATCCACGTCTATGGCAAGTAACCCAGCGAGTCCTCCAGGGAGGCGCTCACTGCCCGCATTGACTGATAACTGCCCATGCGGCTCCTGCTGGCGCTGCTGCGTATGGAGGCTGCCTTAGCTTCCATGGCCTTAAGGTTGGCCAGCAGATTATCAGCGCTACCGCCTCCTGCCAAGCCTATGCTTTTGCCCAGCGGCATGACCAGTGGCATACCCCCACCCAAGCGATCGGTGCTGAAGGACTCTCGGGTACGGTATGAGGACCTTCTGGAGGAGACTTGCGATCGACAGCTGCCATTGCCCAACCTAGATCCCAGTCCCGCTGTTGCCGCCCCCTTTGGCGGGCACAGACTCTTGATGTCCGTCGTCTGGCTGAGCTTCATGTCGGCGAACACAGCAGCCGCCTCCACGCTCTTCTTCACGCTGAGAGCCTCGTGCGGTTGCACTGGCTGCCCACTTCCGCTGATATTAAAGAGCTCGTAGTCCAGGCCCAGTTTCTCTGAGGGCTTGCCTTTCCTTGGAGCTCCACTTGCCCCTCCTGGCCGGGACTTGCGCTGCTGTTGGGATAAGGAGTCCTCGCTGATGGCCGCCGCTGCCGAGGAACGCTGTCGGCGCTGGGTGCGCTTGCAGTAGCACTTGCTGGCGCTCACGCAGCTGTCCGAATCGCAGGACGTGGTCGTGTCCGTGTGCGTGTTGTTAGCTGAGTCTCGTTCCAGGGAGCTGGCTGGCTCCTCCTCCACCATGGAGCAGTAGCACTTGTCGTCTGAACGGCAAGAGATCAGCGAGTGCCGATTGGTGGCCGTAGTTCCGGCTCCACTTTGATTTGCTGATGGCTTTCGGGTGGGCGACGCCAAGGCCATGTTGCGCTCGTTCTTCTGGCGCAGTTTGTGGTTCAGATGCTCGGTGCGCAGGCTACAATAGCAGCGATCGGCCGAGGCACAGGCACAGGACTCGGAGTCGTAGCTGCACTCCGAACAAGACACATATCTAAGAGGGATTGGTGTTAAATAACTTTAATGACTTTTACTGGGAGTTAAGAAGATATAAGTATGAACCTACCCGCTGCTGCTGTTTCGATTGAGTCCCTGGGTATGCTCGTTCCTCACCACAGAGACATCCGAGCCACTGGTTGCCGCTCTGTTTCTTTGATGCTGCTGCTGGGCATGGCTGATGGGTGGGCCAATGATGATTGGTGGACTAATTTTGCGTTTGTCTATGCTGCCCTCCTTGGGCTTCACCGCTGGCTTGGCGAGCTTTCCCCGGCAGGAACGGAACTGGCCCAGCTGGAAGACCTTCTTGAGGCTCTTGGTGCCAAAGAAGCTAGTCTTTGACTTCTTCTGGAGAGGGAGATATATAAAGTTAGTTGGGGATTAGGGTAGCCACGTCTCTGGACCCACCTGCGATCCATTGACACTGGCTTTGCGTTTCTGCTTCTTTTTCTTCTGTCGCCGCATTATGTTCTTGGAGCGCTGAAAGAGCTCGTCCTGGGTGAGGGTCACGGCCAGCTTGAGCAGGAACTCCTTGTAGATGGGCTTCAGATCGTTGAAGGACATGCCGTCGGCATCGATAATGGCGTAGAGGATGTCGTCCAGCGAGTGCAGGTTCTCGTGCAGGCGGAATTCGTTAAACAGCTCGCTGAAACCAAGTGGGGAACTAGAAGCACAATTCAAGCGATGCCAATCAACCAGACCAAACCTTCTCCCCCAGATTGCAAATAAACTGCCGCCCGCACCCAGGGTCAGGAGTAGTTGGGTTCTCCCAACTGCCCCTGCCCCCCCAGTTCGGTGGCAATACTCACCCTCCTCCGCCTCCACCGCCGCCGCCCAGTTTGCCGGAGTGGCGCCTCGCCGCCCGCGACTTGTAGCGAGTCAGTCCACCGGTGTTGAGGAAGCTTCCGGATCTGGGTATGGCCACTCGTGTGAGTATGTCTCCATTGGCTGGCGCCACGTCCACGCTCGAGGAAAGGTCTGGACCCGTAGAAGATTTCTTGCTGGAATGGGCGCTCTGATGCAGACGGGTCACGTGACCATTGCCGCACACAATGCTGCCACTGCGGGAGGGAGTGCCTCCTCCACCGTTCCGGTGACTCCCTGAGCCGGGCACCGTCGTCGGTACTGGTGGAGCTCGCTTCGATTTGTGAGACTTGCGACGGCGTTCCTCTGTGGAGGTCTCTAGCTCGGCGGCCTCGTTGATGACATTACTGTGAGAGCTCAAGGAACTACTCGATATCCGCTTCTTTCGTCCGGAGCGGGAGGGAGTTCCTGCCACGCTGGTGCTGCCCCGGAAGGAGCTACGCCTTCCGTTGGCACTGGGCACAATCTGGGAGCGGGACAGGTAGTTGGAGCTGGCCAGGGCCGAGCTGCTCGCAATGCTGATGCAGCTGACACCATTTTGCTGGCGGGGCGCTCTCCTTTGGGTATTTCGCCGCGAACTGGTGCTCACATGGGCCATCAGACTCTGGTAGAGCGTGGCTGCAATCACGATGGCATCCTCGGTGCTCTTGCAGATGAAACCATGGCACTCGAGCACCTTGGGCGAGCTAGCCGAACGCATGACCACTGCAAAGATGGGTGCATGCACATGGATGCTGTGCTCCACAGCCATTTGCTCACTGGAGCTAAAGGGCGGAAATATGGTTAGCTTTGGGATTCAAGACTAGGATAAGGATTAGAAAACCCACCTCAATGGCTGGAACAGGGCAGTCTTGTCTATGTTCTCCGGATCGGTGATCAGGGGCAGAAAGGCCGCGCCACCATCGTCGTCCGAGATGACGAACTTCACCGCCGACCACACAGCAATGTTGTGGAAGGGTGTGATGAGAGCCTCGCCCTCCTCCGAACCATCCGCTCCACTCGCTATGGAGAGGGTGCTGATCTTCACCCGCAGTCCGGTGGCACAGATATCCAGCGATCCAGAGTTGAGTTTCTAAGGGATAAATCAATCTAGTCTTAGATTCAACTCCCACACAATCCTCTATTAGCCACCCTACCTTCTTGGTCACCTCGCTGAGATACAGTTGACGCAGTGGCTCTTGCAGACCCTGCAGGCTGGTCACTTTATCTTTTAATGGCAGCGCTCCCAGGCAGGTGACCTCGAAGCTGCTGGTGGCATCCTTGGCCACATCCGTGAACAGCTGCTCTATCTGGGCCTGCACGCTGTTGCTGATCCGCTGCACATCCTTCTTGGCCGCCTCGGCCAGCACCTTGGCCGACTGCCCATTGTCCTGCAGGAAGCTGCTCAGGGAGCGCGGAGTATCACCGCTGGTGCTGGCCAACTCACTGCGCCCATACATGATGATGGAGCGGGTGCGATGCGATCCACGGGGATCGTCGAGGCGGCTGCTTCGCATGGATCTGGGTTAGGAGGAAGTAGAGGAATATGATGTAGGAAAAGCAGAGTTAAGTATATGTTTCCGAAACTAGTTCGGGATGTGGAGCAATGGTGTCTTCCGCCCCTAAAGAAAGTTCTCACTCACTCAAAGAATTTGTTTATGTGTGTAATTAAAGCAGATTCCGGTTGTCATGAGACTTTTTTCGCTAAATAATACAAATTTAACCATGAAAAATTCTACAAATATTTCTCAATAAACTGATTAATTAGATTCTCTTTAAACTTTAGTTTTATTTCCTGATTGCTATAACTTGATTCGCTTTTGTTTTAGATCTCAGCTATTTCCTGCAGCTTTTAAACATAATTTAAAACATTTTTAAGTGTTGAATAATTCAAAAACCATACCGATTTTGGTTTTATATACTTTGAATAAGTATTTGTTGATTTTCGCATACAGAAAGACTCTTAAATATTTGTATTCCTGAATGCATTTTATTGTTTTTCCCACTTAATAAATTAACAATTAAAAAACCAATGGAGTTTCTGCTTTATATAATTTTTTTAGCTACTTATTTATTTATCAATTGCCATTTGCCTGTTTGCCTTTATTGATTTCTTTTCTAAATTAACAAATAAACTAAATATCACCTTTAGTTCCAAATGGGATACGCTCTTCTCTGTGTTCTAAACAAGTTTAAATCTCAAGTTTAAATCTCAGAAAGAGCTTCAAAGTTTATAGCACAAAATCAAAGATATTTTCTGAACCATTTAATTTAAGTTTTAAGTTTTGTTTACCAAGCTTCTTTATTTACCATAATTTATTTGGTGTCAGCTGCTCCCTCAAAGAAAGTTCTACCACTCACTACTATGATATATCTCTAATGGATATCAGGGACTTTCCTAATCCATATAATTTAATTTTATAGTTTAGTATAAAATCGATAAGATTGCCTAATATTCTATTAGTTGTTCTCTTCATCAAGTCGACACTTTTAGTGCCGAAATGTGTGCGACAAAACGGTTCCGTTTTTGTGAAAGTTTGACTGATTAACGCAAAAGCAACCAGAAATTAGCATATTTGTCTTGACTATGCCTGAACTCCAACCAGCTGGAGTTGCAATTGGCACAAGCACAGCACATCCTGGTGACCAGGTCACAGAGCCCGGGACTCGTGGAAAAACCACTATGAGATAGAACTATGATGAGAGAACGGAATGGTCATTGACCAATGGCCAAATGCAGCTTAAGGTGTTCCCAATTCAAGCCATTCCGTTTACCGCTAGCTGACATAAAATCGGAAATGCTTATTTCCATAGAACGTCGAGAGTTTTGAATGGCGATGAGTTTGGAAGATGAGCTTGGGACTGGACAGGTGTGGAGGCTCCGCAGGGGAGTTGGGGAGCAGCAGCCTATACATAGTTTTCTTTCTCAATCAATTAAGTAGTTCGTCGCGAATGTGTGTCAACGATGAATATTTATCCAAAGAGCAAGTGTCGATCTATCTATGGAACATCTAGCTGGAGCTGAAGCTGAATATCTTTCTCTCTCTTTCTTTGCAGACAATATGGTTTTTTAATTTTAAAACTAACTGTATATTTATCGTTGGTTATGGAAATGCAAAACGGTAAACGCAGCAGCCGTCTTTCGAGATCTCTCACTCTCTGTTTTTGGCTTTGGGTATATTTGTATCTTTGTATATTTGTATCTTGTATCTTTGTATCTATTTATCTTAGTTTGTGTGATTTCGAGAACGAAAGTGTGCTGGGTGGTCAATGGAAATGAGAGTGTTGGTGCAGAGAAAGAAATATTAACAACAAATTACCAGAAACAATCAAGTAACTTGAATTAAATCCATTTAAGAACGTTTTAATAATACTTTTAGAACATTTTTAATGATTTTTAATAAATTATTTGGAAAATTAAAGAGTTTTTCTTGTATATTTAATCTTCAGAAAATTATAAAATAGGCCTAACAACCTAACGTTCTAGCCATTAAAACTTGGAAAACCCTTAGTGATCCTCAAAGCTGAATTTCCTTCAGTTTTCATACTTTCTTTATTACAATTTTCTTTAATTTATCTCTAGAAATTTATCCAAAATTCCAACTATTTTCGTTCTGTGTACCTTTAAAAGACTAATTGATTTGTTTTGGCCCAAGATCGAGAGCGAGGCTAATGGCGAAAACACACCTCCCCGGGGTCTGTGTCTGCTTGCAATTATCACTGAATGGAAGTTTCACCCCGTGACCCGTAACCCCAAAGAAATTTCAAAGGGAAACTCACCTGGAATCGTCGAACATGAGATCGATCTTGAGTTTGTAGATCGAATTTCGGCTGACACTCGAATTATTTTCGAGCTGATCGCCGTCCAGGAGCCGAAAGCCGGAAGAGTGGCTATTGCTGTGACTGCCGCCGGCGGGCTTGCCACGAGACCTTGCCGCATTCATTTTGGGAACGGCCACCGCGGATTGGGAGTCCACCTTGCAGGTGACCATGCTCCTCCTCCCAGGCTAGAGGGGGCTTGGGAAGTGGTAAGCACACGCGGAATGCCGCGGTGGCGATGCAAATCGCTGTTTGCACTTCACTTCTTTTTCACTCTCCGCGAATTGTTTGTCTTTTTTTTATTGTTTGGTTTTCTTTCTTTATTGTTTTTTGGTGTTGCTTTGTTTTGTTGTATTTTTTGGCTAGTGTTTTTTTAATTTGTATGCAATTAGCGGTGAATGCAATCCGTTTAAGCGCAATGAACGCTAATTTTCAACATTTTAGCGCCGCGCACTCCTCACACTTTGCATAGGGACGAAGGCAGCAGCAGCAACGCGAGGTGTTGCATGGCGTGTTGCGATGGGGGGGCTATCGTCACTCGTCTAATCATCTCTCATTGTAGCCGGCTCATTAATTAGCTGTAAGCATAAACCCAGAAAAACCGACAAAATGTAGCAACATTATTGGATTAAGGCGTATTGCAAAATCGTTATTTAAAATTCGTATAAAAAATCGGTATATGTTTTCCACTTTTGGTCTGCTTTGGCCACTGATAAATTGCGCAAAGAAATGCAATTGTTGGTTTGTATTGGAAAAATGTTGGCTATTTTCGAACGCACCGAGCTAATTCGGCTACATCTGTGAGATACTTTCACTCTGTGGAGCGAGATATATTCGCGATAATTAGCACACACACTCAACACACACACAACACACACTTTACACATGCGTATAAGCCAATTGGAAATGCCATTTACTTGTGCCTTATTGAACTTCAACTTTAAACACTGTTAACACCGCCCAATCCGGCCAATTCCAGTGCACCTGACGGACTGGCTCTTGGCTTTGGGATAACTATAAGGTAAGGTAAGCCAGGTGGGCTGCCCGGCCGGGTCCGTCTGAGTTCGTTGAATGCCACACAGCGACTGTCGATGCGGCTCAGAGGCAGAAGTCGGGCTCAAGCCAGCCGGAGAAGAGAAAGAAAAATGAGCCCAGGTGAGCTCAGGTGAGGCGACGGCGGCGGCTGCGGCCATAACAACAATAGAGTCGTCGCTGGCGTAAGTGGGCAGCACAATGAGAATGCCCGGCCATAACCGACGAGCTTGGAGTTGGCCAAACTCTGTTTTCAAATGTGTGATGAAGACGAACGCGTCCACACAGCCGTCGCCTTTCAACAGCCACAAAGTGATTGTGGTCCGGAATGGTGACACCGCCGATCGGGGGGCATTATGTATTATTATCCGTTTGGATGGACGGTTTCAGCCAACTCTATTTGCATATGGCACACACGGCGAAAAAAAACACTGCACATTATTTGGCAAAAAGTAACGTAAGAGAGGTTCATTCAAACCTAGTTTGGGTGACCTCAGGGCAGGGGTCAGCAAAGTTACAAAAAATAGTTTGGTAAGCAGTCTAAAAAATGTGACAAAATTTGCTTAGGAAATTATTAAATTGAATTAAAATTAATTGCTTCATTTTGTCCTAGGAAACTATTATAAAAATGAAATACATTATAATGTAGATAAAAATGTAACAATAAAAATATATTTCGTCTCAAAAAATATTAGAAAACTTAAAAAAAAATTTTTAATTAAACAAAAATATATTATATTTGAAGAAATATCGTTTTAATTTTAAGTCTACTAGATTTTTATCTAAATCTCATCAAAAATAAATATTTTTAAAATTATTTATATATTTTTTAAAGACTGTTTGAACCCCTCCAAATTTCTTACAGTGCCTGTGAATGTTGTCGAGCATTTGCGCAAAGTTATTTGGGCAATGTCGCCTTCGCCGTTGCATCTCCATCTCGAACTCCGGGCCAATGTCAGTATGTGTCCCACCACAAAGCCCCCGCGGGCCAATTGCAATTAAAAGGCAGCGTTGTCGCAGTGACGCCGAGTGGGACATGGGACGTCGTGGGTCGCCCAAAATGCCGGTGGCCCGGGTTTTGCCATTTGCGCAAGCGCAGAAGCTGTGACGAGCTAGGGGAGAGCTTGAGATTTGGAGTACCGGCGAGTCAAAGAGGTGGAGAGCGGAGCTACTAGAGCCGGAGGCCATGTGGGGATCGGGGGAAACACTGGAAGCAGTGAAGGCATTTTCGAAATCAATGACCGTGGTCAAGTCTTACGATAACTGGAGCTGCCCGCGGTCTGTGGTACATTTGTGTGTGTGGTTGCCAACATAAAATGCACTTCATTTTTTACAGAAAACGCTTCAGAGTAGCTTGGAAATTGAGAATATCTGAAGAATATCTAGAGAATAGCTGAAGAATACTTCAAAACGAAGCTCCGGATAATGAGCCTCGCAATAATAATTCATATGCATGCAAGCTATTACATGGTTGATCTTATATTTGCATTTTAAGTTGTAAACTAGAATCAACAAAGCTTCTTCTAATGGGTTTATTTCAAACTTAAACTATGTTTCTTTTTGGGTTCTATAATTAAGATTATGATGGATCTTAAACTGAGAGCTAGCTTCTTTCTTTCTTGAGTGAGCACAGCCTCATAAAAAGCGTAATTAAGTAGCTTAATGGGTTCTGAATACAAAGAAAGCAAATAAACATTTGAAGTAACTATCTTTTTTGATTTTTACTATAGTAATTTAAAAGATATTTTCATAAGAAATATACGTTGATGATCCTTGCTTACGCTTTATGATCTATTAGCTTTTTTAATTTATATCCTTCCATTTTTCATATGGACTACCTCCTTCTCTTGCTCGAATATTAATGAATCTTTTTTTATGATCCACGCCTGAGCATGAATAATGAATTAAAATTGTGCCACATTGCTTTTGAGCTCGTAATTCAAGATGATTTCAATTAAGAAAAAACTTCGTTTCCATTTCTCTAATAAAAACTCTTAAGCGAGCCGCCGTAAAAATCCAACTTTCCACTGGAATCCAAAGCCGAATCCGAGACTCTGAGCGATTTCCATTTTAGATTTCAATTTTGATGGCCTCTGATCGTTGAAGTGATTTTTGTCAACGTTTTTTCGTGCTTATTCATGAGCTAACAGTAAGACGAGTAATTAAAATTGGTCCACGTGAAACAAAGACGAAACAAGAAAAGTAAAACCAGGCTAATTGATGTTTATTGTGTGTCCAGAAAACTCTTACTTTTAGGGCCTTGGAGGTCGTCTCTCGACCTGCCCAAGTGTGTCTGGTTTCGTTTTTATGGCTCGTATTTGATGTTTAAAAACAACAGTTAAATTAAAGAGATAAAACAGAACCAGTGAAGAACCCGAAGGGCATACATTTTCATTTTCCCTTTCTTTTAATAGAGAATTTTCATTTAGGTTGCTAAACCGTTAACTGCACCCAGTCAGCGTTGATGTGATTTATTTAACAAATATATCGCTGTAACATCATACTACCGTGATCATCACTTTCTCCATTCAATTTACCAGGCTGCCTTTGCTATAGTGTCTGTTTTAAGGTTCGCTCGCATCTGCAGCGGCAACTATTTCAGAAATTAGTCGTATTTTTTGCTCAGGCAAGCTTGAAGATACAGATACAGCTAGAGGGTTGAGCCAGAGTCGGGTTGGGTGCCGGTGTCGGTGCCGGTGCCAGTGGAGATGGGTAGCCTAGGTGCGCTCTAAGAGATACGCTTGATTCCTTCGCGCTCGTCTTGTGCCCAGCATTGCGTATCTGACATGCGCAGGCACTGAGAGAAAAATTAGGGTTGGCATGGGGAAAAAAGTCTTATATGAAATAAGAAGACTTTAAGCACCGCTTGCTTCGAAAATTTCTACAAGACTTTAATGTGCAATAAATGCTTATTTTTAAATTATTTTTAAAAATTCCTAAACCATTTTATATTTCACCTATCTAGAACATTTTCCCCAGTGTACTGTAGTGGACAAGTTCTGCAAATTATTCAAATCATTTACTAAAAAAAAGAAGAAACATTGCGCAATTAAAGTTTCATGACTTTCCCTGGCTCTAAGCCTGAGCCCAGACATAATCGCTTCGCGAGACTTTCTTTGTAGAATCGCCCGGGCTTCAGAGAGCTGGCAGCTGGGGACTCCTCTACTCTACATTTCCCTCTGCCCTAGTGAGCTTCATGAGGCCCGATTCATTCATTAGCTTGCCAGTTGCGTCACGAACCCGAATCCGAAATGAGACTCGAAAAAATACACGACAATTGTCACATTGTGCTACTCATTACGGCATCTCCCGCCCCTCCATCAACCATCCGGCTGACAATAACGATTCACTTTTCGCGCCGGCATGGAGTTTCGGTTAGGTAGCAGCAGCGGGTGGTTAAAAAGAAATTAATTTCTCGGCTTTTATGGTCTTTGTAAGAAATTTGCAGAAGCTCTTGGACAAACAGCCGGGCTTTACGACCCAACGGCTACGTGACTTGACCAAGATCACGACCACTGACCCGGCGAGGTGACGATTTAAGGACCCCAGTTAGTAGCTAAAGATGTCTATATTTGCGGGTTATGTAAATGGGGTTTTGTATTTTGAGTTTCCTTGTTTATGGTGTCACGTTAGCAAAGCTTGTAATCCGCAGTCTTTAAGTTAAAAAAGTAAGATTTCCTTTGTTTTTAAATCCATGAAACTCGGTTTTTATCACCTCAAAACATTTAATAAATGTTCATCTGTTATGGACTCTATAAATTGAATTCCTGCACCAAAGCTGCCTTTCATATTTTCACATATTATTGGACTTTTCCTGGATTTTATTAGGATTTATATGATATATGTTTTGCTTTTCGATGTTGTGATGTTTACTTATTTAAATTTGAATTTTATTTATCAATGCATGCATAATTTAATGGCCTTTTTCTTTAAACTAATAACAGATAAATTTACATATATTAAGTCTTCCCTACTTGCCAAGTCTTTATGATTTGTTTTTTCGAGTTGTGGCATTTATTTTATTTACTTTACATTTTGTTTCAATTAAAGCAAATCTTTAACAGATTTAAAATATATATATATTTTTTTTTATGTATTATTTAAAGTGTGATCTAGGGCAATCAATGAATTTTGAAGGCGATAATTTCCACTCGTGGCTCGTTGCATCAATCGGAAACACACGAAACTCATGCCATAATAACCGTATTTGACTCGTGCCAAATTGTGTTTAGGCATGAAAGTCTTTTGGACAGGCGGCATTATGGACACTTGAGCGAGCAATGCCCTCGTGGCTGCCACAAGGAGAAGGAGGAGGTGGAGTAGTTAATGAAATCCGGCAAAGAAATTGCCCAAAAGAGCGTGACGCCGGCGCTGCTCATGAACTCTGCGCCATAAATTGCCATAAGTATGTGTATTTTGCATAAGCATTTGCATACCGCCTGGCCACAGGCCGGATCGGTTCGAAACCCCAGTGCTATCTGGCCACGAAAATTCTGAACATGGAAATTCTCCTCTTCTGGCCGAAATGTTTTATGGCCCTGTTGGAAAAGTTGCCTTTTAATTGGCCTTCTCTCAACACCGTTGTGGGTGCTAAATGGCTTTCATTCATCGCGGTCAGCTGGGTTCAAATGGCGCGTGCTTTGTGGGTCAGTTTTCCGCCTTGGAACTCAACATTTCAAGGGGAAGAAAGAGCACCACATTGACACCATCTGATTGCCGGCTAACTGTGCTCTTTGTGGCCCAGTGCCCAGTGCCGTTTCTAAACAAGATAAGATCATAATTCTGCCCGCCGCTTCACGAGATAATTGTTTTCTTGTCATTTATCGCGTTGGCGCGGGGAAAGCTGCACTTCTCGGAAGCTAGATAGATTTTCTTTATTGCCATTCATAATTGCGAGGTGCGCAATGCCAGCTGACCATTAAGGCCGTGGGCTTAAATTAAGGGCTACCTCTTCTGCCAACTGTGGATTATTGTAATTGTAATTGTTTCTATTTTTGGGATATACACCTCAGTGGGATTCTGCCTTTAGGGTACAAAGAATAGGAGATTTAAATAATATAAATAATTATAATTGCTGAGGGTCTGGTATGTTTAGAAATCAGGTAGCTTTCCTAAGGAAACCTAGGCCTCTGGTGGGCTAATTAATTACTATAAATTCCCCCACACCGTTCCCTCTTCATTTCCCTCGAGTCTACACCACCATAAGTGATGCAGTACTCCATGGAGTAGAGCTTCTAGTGCTTCTTTACAGAATAGAATGCTTCATTAGCACATTCTAGCATTCCCGATAAAGAGATTGTTCGATAGCGGTACACTGGTGATTGGCGATTGGAAATGGCTCAACGCACGATTATAGCCGCATCCATCGCAGAACAGATGTGTCTCGGGGTATTGCAGCTCCTCTTCTAAGCCACATATCCGATCCCGTCGAGGAGTTATGGCTCTGACCCACCTTCGGAGTTGGATGCAGCAAACGAGTTGCCAGCTAAAGCTGGAGCTGAAGCCGAAGCCAACTGCGCATCGGTGCTCCAGTTTCTGAACCGCGGACCTGTCACGCAGCCTCCGAGCCGAGAGGAGAAAATCGGAAAATAATTGCAAGAAAAGCCGAGAGATCCCTGCTAGAAACAATTGCGGCCAACGGACAAAGCTGGCTGCCAGACGGTGGCGACCTGAACGAGTTTAGCAGGAAAAATGACTTGTCGATCTTGATTACCAGTGTCGTCGCCAAGAAGCTACCAACGCAGCAGCTGAGTTTACACAAGGAAATTATAATATATAATATTATATTATTATTTAGACATGATATTAATCTTATATTAAGACAAACCTATTTTTTAACTTTAGAAGGGCAGAGAGGGTATAACATCTAGAGGTGAATGAAAAATTCTTTGGAAATTGACCCTAGATAACTTTTTATCTTTCATGAAAGCTACTTTTAATTGTTTTTAAAAGAATATATAAGATTACTCCCCATAGATTAAATAAGGCAGATCTCTAATTGAAGATTGTCTATAGTCTGTCATATATTATATTATTTTAAGCTGTGAACTTTTAGAATGCATTTTATATTTATTATTTAATTTATTTTCTCTGAGTGTAGCTACCGTAAATCCCGCTAATCGAATAAGCGTTTGCCTCTCTGCTAACAAGGCTTATATGGTTGTCAACTATAAACACACCTGATGTCCATGTCCAGTTGTTGTTTGCCAGCCCATTCTTGGTCAGGAGAATGTTGTAGCCTCGCTCTTGGTTCTTCGTGCAATTAGGATTGCAGATATTTAATTGAAGTGGAGCGAAATAATTGTCATTAAATGACAACGGTGGTCTGGCCTACATACAGCCCAAGAGCACTTAATAAGCGCAATATAAAATTAATAAATCAGCCTTAAAAGGCATTGGCGGTTGGCTTTGAACACACGTCGCACTACTTATATACTTTCAAAGAAAATAATTATGCTTAGACAGTAAAAGAAGCCTACAATTTAAGACACTAAAAGAACAGAATGAAAATAATGAATCTTACTTTGTGGTTGCATTTTATTTTATCAAAAACTAAATTGCGAACACACATTTCGTATGCGTAATTTAGTTGTAAAATTCACCCACTAAGCACACTTATTCTTACCTTACTTTGTTCTGCTTTTCCTTTTGAAATTATTCACTGCCAAATCACTTTACACTCGAGAGATTATAAATTGCCAGGCAAGGCTTTAACATCGGCGGAAACTTTCTTCGCTAACCCCGCAATCAAAGTACAAATTCTGCTTATTTTCCCAATGACTCGGTCACGTTCCTATTCTTCGGTCGGCGACAACACTTTCGTTCGCTCGTAATTTGCATTTTCCAGCCGAGAAAAATGGGTGGAGATGTGGAAATCTCGGCAGTCGGAGGAGCAGCGACCGGAGTGCGCGAAGTCAATAACGAGACTAACTGCGTCCAACCAATTTGACGATGCCAAAGCCAAAGCCAACTCCATTCGCAGGCAGAGGCAGTGGCAGAGCCAGACTCAGGGCAGGGGATCTGAGAAAGAGAGGAGGAGATGATGCAGCCGTTGCAGCAGCCAGTTTAGTTTTTTGTGTTGCGTGGAGTTGGTCAACACCGAAGTCAAAGTGGCCAACCGACTGACTGACTGACGGCTCGGCTTCGGCTGAAGTGGATTAGCCAAAGTTCGGACTCGACCAGCAGTCGCAACCTGCGGCGTGATCCTAAGTACGACACTAATAGCGCCAATTTGCCGCGCTCAAGTCAACAGAAGTCACAAGGAGATGGCATCTCAAATAACTCTTTTCCCAAGGCCAAAAGACAATTAAATGTTGGGGAAAAAATAACGGTAGTTATTTCAATTAGACATTTTAAGTAAGTCTTGCCTTAAAAAAGACAATGAAGTGCTAGGAGACTTTATAACATTGCAGTAAAAATAATTATTTAAGCATGAACTAAATATTTAACAATTTCTGAAAGGTTTACTGACTTAAATATATAAGGTTCTGTTTTCTGAGAATAATTAAAACAGCAATGCAGTGTCCCAACCTCATAAGGAGCACATGTATAATATTTTGTAGGACTTAAATATATATAACCTCAACGGTATCCCATTTTTGGTATAAGCCAACCTCCCCACACCCATCACAACCCACACTAACTAGGTAATCCTATCATTTCTGGAGCAGGTCAGGTCGCTCTTAGCACGCCCGTCCACCTTGACTCGATCCAGAGGCCCAGTTTCTATTTGCCGAAAAGTGGAAAAACCTGCGTGGACAGTGGCCCAAATTGCCGCGTGCCCATTCGCCGACCGAAACCAAATCTTTGGCCAATATTCAAGTGAACCGTTAGACAGACGATGGCAAGGCTCAGGCTCTGGCTCTCTGGCTCCCGGGGTAAATTAATTCATGTGCTGGCCAGGCCGTCGATAACCGCGCATATTCATGCCAGGCGGGCAGTCGGAGGAGCACAGCATCGCCGCATCATCTGAACGGAAACAGGTTCGCTGGCCAAAAATGGGTCAATCTCAGTCAGAATCTTCAAAGCGAGTGTCAGTTTCTGGTGCGGCCCACAAAAGATGAAGTTGGCTCCTTTGTGCCAATCCAAACTGGGCCAGGCGGGCGATCTAGTTCGATTCGGGGGATTTAGAATCCTCCAGTGAGGTGCTCAGAAATGTGCCACAAATAGAGAGGAGCACATAAATACCGTTTACCGTAAACGGCATGCTGCTCCTTGCATTCAATGACCCATTTGGGATCAGGCTTAGCCCGAACTCGCCTGTCTGGCCTGTCACTGGCATCGAACTGGATTCTGCAGCCATTGGTGTCACTCGAAATGTATCGCAAGACGGTATTACACTCGTTGAATAATGATTCGGATGGCAGATGTCCCATTACGAGCACAGGTGGGTTGGATAATCTTAACGTGTTAATTTGAAACAGTTTTGTGGTAGCAACTATGTAGTTGTAACAGCTTGGCTATTAAGTTGGGGTTTTGTTTAGAACTTCTAAATAGTTAAATATTTGGTGATTTTCATGGCTATGTACTTTTAAAGATTGCTGTATTAGATATCTTATATTCAAATATTAATATTCTATGAGATCTGATCCTTTTAAGATGGATAAAAATCTCATATGTATATTTACTTGATCTTCGATTTATAGAAATTATTCCTTAGTTACTTACTTACACTTACTTTGTTATTGTAAACATTTTTTTCAATATATTTGTATACTTATTTTGGATAGTTTTTATCCGTTCTTGTTTGAATATTAAAAAAAAAATCGCCCTAAGACTACTTTAAACTAAAATAACAACAGATAAATATTCCCTTTAAAAAAAATAGAAAATAAGAAATTACCACTTATTTTGTTAGGAAAATTTCATTATGATAATTTTTATAGATTTTTCTAAATGGTAGTATTTTTTTAACAACTTTAGCCTGGAAATTAAAATATAAACTGCCTTAAAGTCGGCTATAAAAACTGAATGCTGCTTGACTATCATGTAAAGATTCGTGTAAAGTATCTGTAAAAATCATGTAAAATGTCTTTAGATAATTGTACATCTTATAAAAAAAGTGTTTAAGATTTAAAATTAGGTATAAAAAACAGTTAATTTTGTTTAAATTTGTTAAGAAAATCATATAGGCTGTCCTCTAAGAATTAGTAGAAGTCTAAATATAAGGCCAAGAAGTTAAAGGAATTCCTTAGTTCAACCATTCACTTCTTTATAATTGTTTCCAATAATCCAAACTATTATTTTCCCAAGTTTTTTTTTATTTTTTATTTAATCACATTTAAAAAAATATACAATGTTATTCCTTAAAAATACAGACATTGCTCGTATTAATTGTAAACAGTTTAACATATTTTTTGGTCGATTACGATTAGAGATTTTATACACTTGTGGTTTACGTATTTGGTTCAAGTTAAGACCAGTTCCCGGGAACAGGGAGGGAACTCGGTGGCAGGGTGCGACTTTACTCGATTTCAACTCGATCCAAGACGTCACTAAAATACTAACAGTTGTGGTTGCTTGATTGGTTCGATTTGTTGTTAGTCCCGGATTCTCTCTTTTTTTTTTTAATTTGCATAGCTAACTAAGACTACATAATTACAGACAGATCGTTAAGCTAAGGATCTACTACGATCGCGTGGGAAAGATCGAGGCCAGGACGATGGTCAGGCCCAGGATGAGGAGGGGCGTCGCGGTATGGCCTCCACTGCCGCCGCCAGTTGCCGAGCGATACTCGTCCTCCGGCAAATACTCCCGTATGTGTCGCGTCTTGTTCATCATCCAGTAGAAGGCACGCATGTTGCCCAGCTTCTTTAGCTCGTCGCCGATATCGTTCCGAATCTTGGCATTGTACTCGTTGAGAAGACGCTTCTCCGCGGCACTGAGTAGCGTGCTGTCGATCAGTTTGGGCTCGTACGGCACCATGGTGACGTCCTGGAATGCAAGGAAGTGTGCGCCGCTGGGATGCGTGTGTCCGGTGTCCACCACCTCGAGGACGTTCTTTAGGCGCACGCCGAAGTCATCGCGCTTGTAGTAACCGGATTCTGTGAAGGATTTAACTTTTGTTTAAGCAAGAGAAATATATCTAGAAAATATATGACTCACCGCTGGAAAAGAAGTAGCCCTGCTTGAAGTGGAAGCTGCTATTCCGACCATAGGCCACGGATATGGGAGCTGTTGGGGAATTGGAACTTGGTAAAAGACTTACAGAGAGAAAGTCGGCTCTACTTACGCTCTTCAACGGCACCGTAGGCCCCAATGCCATGACCTGTGGCCTGTGGATAGTCCGTCATGTCCCTCCACACCATACTACGCACCAAAGCGTCTACCTCGGAGGGCTTCAAATCAGAGGGAAACTTGAGCTGCGCTAAATGAAGAATCCCCGCCAGAACATTCGTGTAGGCCTTCTTCATCTCTTGTGTGGGTTCGCCAAACATAAAGGTGCGCGAGACATCCGTGGTGCCCTCCAAATACTGCCCGCCCGACTCGATGATCAGCAGACTCTGATCAGAGACCTCGATATTGGTCACATTGCTGGAGATGTAGTAGGGCAGGGCAGAGTGCTCACCATAGGCCACCACAGTACGCAGGGACAAACCCTTGGCATGGTTCTGCGAGAGACGCCACAGCTCCACCTCGTACTTGATCTTTTCCTCGGTCCACTGTTCCGTGTGGAAGCGCGTCTCCATGTTGCTCATGGCCTCGCAGATGGCGGCACCGTCCCGGATGTGTGCCCTGCGCATGCCAGCCTGCTCATTGGAATTTTTCTGGGCACGCATAAAGATGATCGGGGAGATGTGCCAGACGACAATCTTGCCCGGCATCGAGGAATATATGGCCTCCGAGGCGCCCAGATCTTGGACACAAGGAGCTGAAACAAGCACGCGCTTCCATTTTTGGGCATAAGTGCGGATATCGCTCCAGATCTGATTGTACTCCTTAATCCTGGGGGGATATAAGAGTTTAGAAAATATTTATATTTTTTTGGGGAGAAAGAATTCCTTACTTCACGCAATCCTCATTGTAGCAGTCTGTACGCAGGTGTAGGTCTATGCCCAGACTGATCTTGTGATGATCCACATAGAAGAATATGTCATCCTGGCTGACAATGGCATAGGACTGTTGAAGGAAGAGAAAAACTATAAGATTTTCCAAGATTTTGACAAAGAAAACCCACCTTCACCACAGGTGTGTAGGGAATGTCTGTGCCACGAATGTTGAGTAGATAAGCGACTTCCGTCAGCGAGGTTATCACCATGGCATCGCAGGCCAGCTCTGCCAGTCGCTTTCTCAGTTCGCGCACCTTGTCCTGCCAGTTCTCTCCAGCAAACTCCTTGGCCTGCACCTGTATCACCTGGTTCTTGGGCGCCTCCGGACGATCTGTCCAAATAAGATCCACCAAATTGTTGTTGATCTTGGCCAGCTTAAGAAACTTATCCTCCAGTAGGCGTTCCCACTCAATCCACAAGGCATGGGGCACCAAATGAGGATCAGCGCCAACGCGCTTATCCAGATGGACATGACTGCCCAGCCAGTCGGCCACGGTGACATTGCCATTGGCCAGATAGATTTCCCAGTCGCACTCCAGCTCCCCATCCGCCTGCTGGACATAGCGCTTCTCCAGCCAAATGGCTGCGCCATGGTGAGTGATGGCTGCCACGGCCCGGACGCCTGTATAGCCGGAGAGGTAACGCAATCGCTGATCCCTGGCCGCCACCTCCTGATTGAGATGTTCATCCATGGAGGGCAGGAGGTAGCCATAGATCTCGGGACCCTGCAGAGAGGCCCGGATCAGCATTTGCTCGCGCACGGCTAGCAGGCGAGTGTGATAGACGCTCATGGGCTGGATCTGCAGGGATCACAAGTCTTAATAGGTAAGTAAGAAGGATTAAGGATTTTATATATCCAAACT